ACACTCTACACACTCTCTATACACTCACACAATCTCACACTCTCTACACGCTCTCACACTGTCTATACACTCTACCACACTCTCACACACTCTCTAAACACTCTCTACACACTCTCACACTCCACCACACTCTCACACTCTACCACACTCTCACACTTTCTACACACGCTCACATTCTCTACACACCCTCACATTCTCTACACACTCTTTACGCACTTTCGTACACTCTCTATACACTCTCACACCCTACACACACTCTCACACTCTCTATACACTCTCTATACACTCTCACACTGTCTACACACTCTCACACTCTCTACACGGTATCACACTCTACAAACCCTTACACTCTCTTACACTCTCTATGCACTCTCACACACTCTCACATTCTATACACACTGTCACACTCTCTATACACTCTTACACACTCCACACACTTTCTACACACATTCACATTTTTCACACACTATCACACTTTTTCCAGACACTCTCACACTCTACACACGTTCACACTCTATCTACACTCTCACACTCACGCTCTCCATTCTCTCCACTCTCACACTCTCCACACACGCTCCACACTCTCACACTGTCACTCTCTTCACACACTCTCACACTCTCCACACACTCTTACACTCTTCACACACTTTTACACTCTACACACACTCTAACACTCTCTCTACACACTCTCACACTCTCCACACACTCTTATACTCTTCACACACTTTTACACTCTCCACTCACTCTCCACACTCTAAAACTCTCACTACACACTCTCACACTCTCCACACTCTCTCACACTCTTTACACACTCTCTACACACTCTCACACTCTCTACACACTCTCACACTTTCTACATACTTTCACACTTTCCACTCTCTACAAATTCTACACATTCTACACACTCTACACACTCTACACTCTCCACACACTCTCATACTCTCTACACACTCTCACAATCACACACTCCACACTATTACACTCTCCACACACTCTCCACCCCATCATACTCTCCACACTCTCCCACTCTCCATTCTTCAGTCTCACACTTTCCACTCTCACACAACTATTATTATTAATGTACTATGAATTATTCAGTATCTACTATGTGTTATCCACTTTAAAGGGTTGGTGTATTTATATAAGACCTTATTTCAGAGTGAAGCTGCACGTCTGATTTATAGGTGTTGTTGTGAATCCTCAGCAGAAAAAAGCAGAAGGCCGAACTGCGGTTGGATGGATTGTCCTCCACTGCTGCTCTCATCCATGCTTTCTATCCTTCATTCCACCGGAGTCTGTGAGTCTTTAACCAATCAGATTTCAGTGGGGTGAAGAATATGAGGCATGGGCCAATCTTCATCCTCATCATCCTCATCACCCTCATTATCACGATCCCCGGAGGAAACAGCCCAAGGTTATTACAAACTAAGATGTGATTTATTAATGAATGATTGAGTGAATGAATTGATTAGTACTAATTAATTACTGCACACCCCAGTAACGCAGTAACGCTGCCATTACAATCCATTCTTATACTGGGGGCTGCAACAGGGCAATAACAGGGGTCAGGGAAAATTCTGACATTACTCATTTGTAATTTTGTCAGTTTAATCAGTATTCATATTGAAATTATTATATTTATTAATGGTAAAAGGTTATTAAATGTCATTGGGGCGGGCAAGGAGGGGCACATTTACATTTACATTTAGCAGTAAATCATATTTAAATGTATCTTTCTTTTCACACCATATACATATATATATATGCACCCTTCATCTTATTTAAAAAGCACAGCCCAGTATCTGCACCAACACCACCACAACAAAGCAGCATGACAGCCACCTTTTTTAACACACATGTCCAGTATGTCCAAAAGCGTCCAGATAGCTGTTCTAATTACAGAATTCAGCTTTTTTAAAATGGAATTCTACACAAAATTCCTACATAATTCAGAGAGATTCAGAGTGGTTTAGTGTGAAATGGCTCAGATGTCTTTACAGTGGTGGTGATAGGAACCAGGGGTCGCCATGACTACAACACAAATATAGACATTTTATTTACTATCCAAAACCACCAGTGAAACTACACGAGTCTTCTGAGTTTATATGGAATGACGATGATACAGTTTTTTTGGGGTCTATTTTGCCTCACAACACTCTGAATGTATCCCTCCACCATGAATGGATTTTAAGGCCAAAATCTTCTCAAAACTACTATAAAACTATTTCATGTAGGAACTTTCTGTGAGGGAGCTTTTAGAGGTGGACGTCTGGTTCCTATCACCACCACTGTGAACAATTCTGACTCTAAGATTCTCTAGAACAGAGCGTTTCACACCAAACCACTCTGAATGAACTTTGTTTTCAGTTTAATCATTTACTTATGTAGAACATAGAAAACAGAATTTTCCTTTAAGGTGCACCTAAAGCAGACTTGTATAATCTCCATAGAAAAGCACTGACCAATAGAATGGAGCTCTGGAGCAGCCACACATGAGCCTATGGTCACCATGCCTAATGCCAAGTGTGGGCTAGAGGGGTATAAAGCCCTCCAGCAACTGTGGTCTCTGGTCATCTGATCATCTAACATCAGTACCTGAACTCACTAATGCTCAATCAAATCCTCACAGCAAAGCCTTCCCAGAAGAGTAGAGGCTGTTCCTGCAGCACAAACTCACTATTAACACTTTCATTTCAGAAGAAACACTGACACTTTTGGACGGACAGTTTGTTAAGAATGAATTCTTATTCAAATTCATGATTAGAGCGACTTTCTCCATCTATAATCTCCACCAACAGTCACACAGACTCATACCTGCAGCTATCAGTGGGTTTTATGACTGACGTCTTTATTATTTTTTAAGACACAGTGGTGTCTCTCCCCTGAGCTTTGGGCTTTATTCTCACTCAAGGCAATTAACTTCCATTATTTACCCATGAGATGTTTCACACACCTCACACAAACTGTTAATGACCATTAAAGAGGCAAAACAACACCATTAGAGGCCCCGCGGGGGCAGAGGGGGGGCCGGGCCTGATTCATCACCTGCTCAGAAATGAAGAGGCAGAAGATAAATAACATTTACATAACAAAATAACATACGGGAAACCGATGGGTGCATTAAATTCTAAAATTAAATAACAGAAATGATCAGAGCTGTGAATTGTGGGCAGCAGGTAAATACAGTCCGTCATCCGTTCACCTTTAGAAAGGATGGACTTACTGCAGTGAAGTGATTGTGGTGAGTAAAATGAGGAAAAGCAAACAAAACCACATAAACGACAAACAGAACAGCTGACTTACATACAACACCTGAGAACATCCAGAGAACGTCCAGGGAACATCCTGAGAACACTCCTCACAGTCACTCCAATCACAGCGTAAATGTCTCCCTCTAGTGGCTAATGAGAGCACTAGCTCAAAGATTTACAGCCTTAAAATATTATATCATGACAAACAATAGATAAACACTCGATATTCGCTCACTTATGACGGCCACACAACACCTGAATACTGTATTAATGTACCAAGTCAATAAAACCCCTTGTGTTGTCAAAGGGGACAATTTCTGCCTAATTCAGTGTTTGAGATGTAAACAGAGAGATTCAGAGTGGTTTGGTGTGAAATGGTTCAGATGTCTTTACAGTGGTGGTGATAGGAACCAGGGGTCCCCATGACTACAACACAAATATAGACATTTTATTTACTATCCAGAACCACCAGTGAACCTACACGAGTCTTCTGAGCTTATATGGAATGCTGATGATGAAAATAGTGGAAAATCTGATATGATAATTTTTGAGGGGGCTATTATGCCTCACAATGCTCTATATGTACCCCTCCACCATAAACGGATTAAAATAAATGAATTAATATTACGTTTTAAGGTGCAAACAAAAGGTTTTATTCATGTACGTCATTAAGGTTGGTGCTCCTATTTTAATCAGTTGTGTTTTTTCTCAGGCTTTGCTGAGTCTTCAAAGGCCCATCCTACATTATTCTCATATCTTATTTTTCCATCTGAGGCCCACTTATAACGTTTGTGTGGTTTTATGATCCAATTCATTTTTATGTGACCGTTCCAACCTTTCCAACTTCCCTTTACCCCTTAGAATTAAATCAAGCTATGATAAAAGCCTTCTGTGACGTCACAAAAACCAACATATTTACATACATCCATCCATTCAGCCAACCAGTTTAGCCTTGCCCACTCACCCTGAAGTTATAAGGAGTGTTTCAGCCTGGACTGCTTTTTGAATAAGGCACAGCCAATTAGAACAGAGCTCATTTACATATCAGTCTTTATAACAGAGTAAGAAAAGCACAGAAACATCATAAGAGGAACTTATAAAGTACAAGAAAACAGAATATGTGCCCATTAAGATTATTATAACTCGTATCTCCAAAATGGTAACTTTACAGAAGAAGGAAAAAAACCTACTCTACTTTTAATGCAAGTCAATGGAACCAGAAGTTTTTCCAAGTAATTTTGGGTAATTTCTTTAAGTCCATTCATCATGGAATGTGTAAACAATGTAAACGCTAACATTTTTTTTCAAATTATGTCAAAAAAAACAACAAAAATGGAGATTTTCGAGGTTTTCTTCCAACAACAGCGATATGTAAATGAGCTCTACTCTGATTGGCTGCCCCACAGGCCGTGCCTCTTTCAGAAAGTAGTCCAGGCTGAAACACTCCTAATAACTTCAGTGTGAATGGGCGGGGCTAAACCGCTGTAGGCTGAATAATGGCGGACACATTGTTTTTTGTGACATCACAAAACCAGTGAATTTCGAATGGGTGTTTTTCCATATAGTCCATACGAAACTTAAAAAGTCTTTACAAACGACATCAAACTCTTTTATTCCAGAGTTCAGTGAGAAAAAGCAAGAAAGACCTGGTTTTCCATGATTTGGGCCTTTATATTGATTAACCCTTTAGGTTGATCTGAGTTGAGTCGAGTGCGACTCAATTCCGAGTCGCTGCCATGTGGATGTACGTTAAACCGCCGAGAGTGTCGTTTCGGGTCCTGCCGCGGCCTTTTCCTCTCCGCCGCACTGCAGGTGCTTTCTTCACTTTCTTATTAGAGATGATGATGATGATGGGGCTGATGGCGGCGAAGAGCGAGGAGAAGAAGATCCGCAGGTCCGAGAGCAGCGCGGACGACATAGTCTGCCTGACCGTTAGCGTGTAAACCCACAGCCCGTTATCCACTCCGTACATCAGCACGTACAGCGTCACCAGAGTCACCACGGTAATTGCCGCCCGGCGCTCAGCTGAAGCGCCGCCTCCTCCTCCTCCTCCTCCTGCGCCACTGCGGAGACCTTTGACCTGTCGGCTGTGGCGATAGAGGAAGATGAGGATGATGAAGCTAGCAGTGGTCATTAGTGACATCGGGACGACGTCCCTGACCGTCTGAGCCGCGCCGTTAGCGTCTCTAGTGTAAGCGGACGGGAAACTGACGAAACAAAACTGGACGTTTATGCTGTTCTCCATCAGCTTGGTGTCGTTCTTCGCCCCCACGGAGAAGACCACAGAAGGGCCGCTGATGGAGACGTTGATGACCCACACTGCCAGGAAGATGACCCATAAATACTGGGCGAAGAGAGAGCGGGCAGTCGCCCCGCGAGAGCCAGGGGGCGCGATGCTCAGGCACTGATAGCTGCTCAGCACGAAGGTCAGCCAGATGGAGAGCGCACGGGACGTCCTGTAGGATGATGATGGCATTTTAGTATCACTATAATTTCACCAAAGAGTGGCCAATAACTGTAACACACACACACACACACACACACACACATCATCTAAACCGCTTATCCTTCTGGGTCGCGGTGTAACTGTAACACAAAAGTGTTGCTAGGCCATTACTGTGGTATCCCGGGCAGTTGCTAATATATGAGTGTATTTGTGTGCGCGTTTATATATTTGTGAAAATGCTGAAAATTAGCAAACTTTGTCGCAAAGCTAAATACAGTAGTAGCCGCCTTGTAGCCTAAATTTGGCCCATATTTTAGTTCATGTTTATAGATAACAGTGAGTCATACAGTGTCAGAAACCACAGAATCAGGTCTATTAGAGATTACGCCATAAAGAAGTTCACTGTAAAATTACAGTGAATTACTGGCCATAAGTTACTGTACCATATTAACAGTAAACTAGAAGCAGAAAAGTTTGTAAACACACTTTAAGTTGTCTTGAGAAAGCTATTGCTATAGAGTCCCAGGCAGTTACGTTGCTGTTAGGCAGATGCTATGGTATCCCAGGTGGTTGCTTAAGTGTTGCTTGGCCATTGATATGGTATCCCAGGTGGTTGCTAAGCTGTTGCTAGGCAATTGCTATGGTATCCCAGGTGGTTGCTTAAGTGTTGCTCGGCCACTGATATGGTATCCCAGGTGGTTGCTAAGGTGTTGCTAGGCAATTGATATGGTATCCCAGGTGGTTGCTTAAGTGTTGCTTGGCTTTTGCTATGGTATCCCAGGCAGTTCTTTAAGTGTTGGTAGGCTGTTGCTATGGTATCCCAGGTGGTTACTAGGGTTTTGCTAGGCCATTGCTATGGCATCTCAGGTGGTTGCTAGGGCTGTTGCTTGGCTTTTGCTATGGTATCCCAGGCAGTTCTTTAAGTGTTGCTAGGCTGTTGCTATGGTATCTCAGGTGGTTGCTAGGGTTTTGCTAGGCCATTGCTATGGTATCCCAGGTGGTTGTTTAAGTGTTGCTAGGCCATTGCTATGGTATCCCAAGTGGCTGCTTAAGTGTTGCTAGGCCATTACTATGGTATTCCAGACGGGTTGCTTAAGTGTTGGTAGGCCATTGCTATGGTATCCCAGGTGGTTGTTAAAGTGTTGCCTGGTCATTACAATGGTATCCCTGGTGGTTGCTCAAGTGTTGCTAGGCCTTTGCTATGGTATCCCAGGTGGTTGCTCGGATGTTGCTAGGCCGTTGCTATGGTATCCCAGGCAGTTGCTAATATATGAGTGTATTTGTGTGCGCGTTTATATATTTGTGAAAATGGAACCAAAAAACGGTAAAATATTAAGCGAAGAACAGTAAGTTGGCTTTCTCCAGCCAAAATAGCAACATCACACTGTGACTCCACAGTCACCTGCACCACAAGATCACTGTGCTGTAGCTTCAATCTACTGCTGTAACATAACAACTGTAAACGTGATGCAACTCAGTCAACAGTAATGTACTGTAAATTTACATATAAAATGACTTTTAATTTTAATTTTACCTAATTTAATTTTAAATATGTTAAAAAAAATCAATGAACATATTTATTCACCGTGTTTTACACTATATGTACTCAGATTATATTTTAAAAATGCAAGTACACATTTGACAGACATTTCAACTTTACTTACATCCTATAATACCAGTAAACAATACCATTTTTGTCAACACCTCATTGTTTCAGCATTTAAACCATCACTAAAAAAGTCTTTGAAACACCAAAACCTGAATAGTGGGATAACAACAAGCACTTAACATGTTTTTATTAAAATTCATACCACGTTTTTAACTCTATGTTGCCAAAAATGGTAATAACTGGCAATAACTTCCTTGGAACGGTTTTAGACATCATGTGTAATGATTTAGGCATGCAGTTAGCATCGTGCTAACTGCTACACATAAGCTTCCATTACTTGTTAGCTACATTAGTCTTGTAGCTCCAGTACAAAACTAAATTTTGGGAAGGTGAAAAAAGTGAACTTCTACCAGTGAAGGCCAAAAATAGGAGAAAAGGACATTTTGGTGTCAAAGACATTAATGTCTGTGATCTGTCTTTAATAGATAACTGTTCTAACATCACCTGTAGACGAAGATGACGCCCTTGCAGCCGGCGTCGTCGAAGACATTAGCGATGCGGAAGGTGGCGAGTGTTTCCAGCACGCAGCGCACACCCACCACCAGCAGGTTGGTGGACGCCAGGTGCAGGACGATGGAGTCGGCCGGCAGGAGGCGGCCCTCGCGGTGCAGCGCCAGCAGGAAGGCCGTGATTACGGCGCAGTTTCCCGGAACACCAAACACAGCCAGAGAGAGATACAGCAGCCCACGGGCCAGAAACTCAGCGTCCATCACTCAGCTGAGACACAGAGGACGTGTTAAACGGCTAACATCTACAGGAGGACCAGTTATTAACATTATACTTATCATCATAACATAGTTAACATCATAAATCATAAAGAGTTTATAAGAGAGTTCAATTCCTCATTCTGAGAACTTACATATTAGTTTCATAGTAGTTACGGATAATTCATAGAAGACACTGAAAAATACAAAGTAGATACTGAATAATTCATAGCAGATACTGAATATTTCATAGTAGATACAGAATAATTCAAAGTAGATACTGAATAATGCATAGCAGATACTGAATATTCATAGTAGATACTGAATAATTCATGGTAGTTACTGAATAATTCATAGTAGATACTGAATAATTCATAGTACTTACTGAATAATTCATAGTAGATATTGAACAATTGCTAGCAGATACTGAAAAATAAAATAGATATTAAATGATTTATAGTAGATACTGAATAATTCATAGAAGATACTGAAAAAGACAAAGTAGATACTGAATAATACATATTAGATAGTAGTAGATAGTAGATACTGAATATTTCCTAGTAGATACTGAATATTTCATGGTAGTTACTGAATAATTCATAGTAGATACTGAATATTTCATAGTAGTTACTCAATAATTCATAGTAGATACTGAAAAATACAAAGTACATACAGAATAATTTTAGAAGTAACTGAATAATGCTCAGTAGACATTTAATAATTCACAATAAGTAATGAATAATTCATTGTAATTACTGACAAATTAGTTATTAGATTTAGTAGCTAACTAAAAATTCTAACAAACTAAAAATGCTTTCTACAGTTTACAGTTCACATTCTACAAATTTCACAGTAAACTTCAAAACCAGTTTGCATAAATTAAGAAAACTGTTATCCAAACAAACGGATACTTTAGTCGATTCAGCTAGTCCAAGGTTGTCCAGTTCTGGTCCCGAAATGATCCTTGACTCTTCCTGCCCAGACACCTGATTTAAGTCAGGTGTTAGTCACATGTTTAAGTGTTTGAGCAGAGAGTTCACCCAAACTGGACCACAAGCAAATTCATTCAGTATTAAAACAGCAGATCGACACCAAGACATAAGAGATACTGAAGATACTGAGCTTCTTCTCATTTCTTACCTGAGGCGCCAAGCAGGAAGACCACCGCAGACCCCTCTGCCCGAGTGTGTCCTGTCTCTTCTCACCCCGACTCTCCAACGCCGAACCCCTCCTGTCACTCTTATACTCTTCACTGACAGAACCACAGGGAGTCTGAGGCACTGCATGGTCCAGTGAACCCCCACTGAGCCCAAACTCCACCTGCCTCTCATTATCTGAATGATCTACACCTGACTGACCACCACTGACAGTGGTGAAGTTTGCTAATGTACAGTGCTGTGAAAAAGTATTTGCTCCCTTCCCAATTTCATGATCACTGCTAGACCTGCTGAATCTTAACATCACTTAAATAGAACCTGTCTGGCAATGTGAAGCAGGCTAGAAGGTCACTGGGCAAAAATGGCATGCATGGGAGAGCTGTGAGGTGTAAACCACTGCTGACCAAAAAGAACACAAAGGCTTGTCTCGCATTTGCCAAAAAACATCTAGATGATCCCCAAGACTTTTGGGACAATATTCTGTGGACTGATGAGTCAAAGGTGGAAGACACAGGTCCCGTTACATCTGCCGTAAAGTGAACACCACAGTTCACCATAAGAACATCATACCAACAGTGAAACATGCTGGTGGTAGTGTGATGGTCTGGACTGTGTTGCTTCTGCAGGACCTGGACAACTTGGCATAATTGATGAAACCATGAATTCTGCTCTTTATCAGAAGGTCCTGAAGGAAAATGTCCACTTGTCAGTTTGTCACCTAAAGCTCAAGCGCAGTTGGTTTATGCAGCAGGACATGATTCAAAAGAAACAAAATTAAGGTTTTGGAGAGGCCGAGTAAAAGTCCTGAGTTGATCCCATCTTAAATGCCCTCCAATGAAGCCGGATTAAAACAATTCTGCAAAGAAGAGTGGGCCAGAATTCCTCCACAGTGATGTACAAGACTCATCGCAAGTTATCGCAAACATTTGACTGCAGTTGTTACTGCCAAGGATGGCATAACTACCTATTAGGTTTAGGGTCAATTACTTTTTCACATGGGTTTTGAGTAAATCTTGATCTTCAATAAATAGAGCGATCATTTAAAAGCTGCATTTTGCGTTTACTTGTGTCGTCTTTATCTTATATTAAAATGAGTTGAATGATCTGAAACTTTTAATGTGACAAATTAGCAAATATAGAAGAAATCAGGTGAAGGGCAAATACTTTTTCACGGCACTGTAGACAATTAAAAAAGATTGTTTTTTGATAAAAGCAGTGGTTCTATTTAGAACTATATGGAATAATTTCATGCTTAAAATGGTCCTTTGTGTGGTGGAACGGTTCTTCAGATTGATGGAGAATGTGTTTCTATATTTGCACCAAAAAGGGTTTTTCTGTGATGATTTGAAGCTTGTAACAATAGAAGAACCCTTTTTGGTGCTATTTCCAAAAGGTTCTATATAGAAGAAGAAGCATTTCACCATGCAAAGAACCATTTAAGCATGCAAATGATTCTGTATAGAACTCATGGTTCTAAATAGAACCATTGCCTTTACTTAAGAACCCTTCAAACAAGCATCTTTTTTAAGTGTGTAGCTAACAAGTAATAAAGCTTTTGTTCAGCTTAACTCAGAAGTGGAAAGTCAGCGCTCAGATTTTCGACCTCCACAAGGTCAAGCTACATAGCGGGACGGCTCCATATTGTTAGCAACAAGCTAGCCAGCTAACGTTCAGGAAATGAGTGATAGGCAACTTTCATGATGTATTACCTTCTCAAAGAAGCAGACTTTATGCTCAGCGTTACAGATTTAACCAACCACTGTGTCTGTTTTCGACTGATTTAAAGCTAAGATCACTTAAAGTCGATATTTCAGTACTGTTGATTTGACTATGCTGAACTCCAGTTAAGAACACCTTGGAAAAAGTTGGCATTTCCAGCTGATGGTCCGTTTTTTTTTAGAGTTACGAGCTCTAATGGAATGCCAACCCCACCAGAACAAAAACAGCTAACCAGTAGCGATGAAACCAGAATTTTCCCTGCTGAAAAACCCATAGAAACCATTATGTGTTTGTGTTGGTTCCTGTTGGTTTTGTAATGTGTTTTGGCTTTTTAATGGGTTAATATCACTGTGTGAAAGATCCTAATGGATGAACAGGGAACCAATGGCTGATTCTAAATGCATTTGATGCTTTCCTAATGGAATCTAAAGGTGTTCTACAGGAAACTGTTGGTCTTTATTAAAAACGATTAAGCCAGTTCCCACTGGAAAGCAAAACCATTAGGTTTTAATCCTTTTTCAGCAGGGTTAACTATGCCTTAGTTCATGTTTAAGCCATACAGAGTCATAATCAAGTCTATTAGAGATACTGAACAGCTCCACACAGTTTGAGGCAAATGTGTGATGATGAACAAAATTTAGTAAGCTTTCTCTGGGGCAGTGCCCCTCTGGTCACTGGGGTGGTTCCCTCAAGGCTCCATCTCAGTCCCTTTAGTCAGGGAACATAACTGAACCATAATCCACTGAAATGATATGTTCTAAGCTGTACTGACTCCACACACCCCGTCTCGCCTCCAGGCTTTTATTTTACTGTTCTGTTTAAAACATTCGGTTATGAAAAGGTACAAATACGAACTTTTCACCTGGAAACACTTGTTTAAGGTTCACAATCAGACCTTAACACCACTGTTGTACCTTTGAGGGAACATTTACAGTGTTTGTACCTTGATGAACGAAAAATGTACCTGAACAGAACCTTTATTACAGTGTAGAGGAGGTGAACTGAGTTGACAGGATGCTAGCAACCTGAACTTAATAAGCTGGAAATCACCCAGATTTACACGTCATATCAGTACTGTGAGTCTATTATTAATATTCAGATTAATATTCATCTTCTGGGTTGATAATTCTTAGTATAAAAATCTGATTAGAGCTGGAACCGTTAAAAGTTGGAGGCTCTTCTGCTAGGCCTTCTGCGATGTTTTTAGCATTAGCGTTAGCTAACTCTCAATGGGGAATGTTAAAAACATGATATTTGTCGAACATTAGAGCCCTAATCCCTCACTGATGATCTAATTACCGTGTTCAGACGGTGATGCTCCTCATCTGGGTTTCACTAACGAGTCCCTGGAGATCAGAGGGTTTCGTTCTGACATCTTTGCTCTGTAACAGAATCAGTTTTTCAGTTCTGTAATAACAGTGCAGATGTGCTCTGGACGCAGAGTTCATTAACATTGTATACAGTTTATTTACAGTAGATTAATAAATACAGAGGACGTTTTAGTCTTCATACACTTAGAAAGACAGTTCTTCAAGGGTTCTTTAGTAAAGACAATGATTCTATTTAGAACCATGAGTTCTGTATAGAACAATTTCATTGCATGGATTGTTCTTTGCATGGTGAAATTGTTCTTCAGATTGATATGTTGTGTATGGTTCTATATAGCACCTGAAAAGGTTCTTCTATTGTATACAAGCTCGACATCATAACAATAGAAGAACCATTTTTGGTGCTATATAGAAACATTTTCAAAAAGGTTCTGTAGGTCCATATACAAAACATTCTCCATCAATCTAAAGAACCATTTCACCGTGCAGAGAACCATATAGATCATCATCTGTATAGAACTAATCTATACTCATATAAATAGAACCATTGCTTTTGCTAAAGAACCCTTGAAGAACCACATTTGTTAAGAGTGTACAGTAGCAGTCAAACCTTTGGAGCCAAACATTTTCATAATAAAAAAAATGATGATTGATTAAATTATTTGTTTGGTTTTTTTTTTTTTTGTTCGTTCTTTTTGGTTTTTTGCTTGAATTTCTGCTCAGTTTTGTCTGTGAAGCTCCACCAAATCTTTTCAAAGAGCCACTAGTGAATCATGTTTCAGGAAGTAACTCCTCAGGAAGAATTTAAACAAATCAAGCATTAACAAATTAACTAAAATTAGAAATTGTTTTCTTTTCTAATACACAGAAATCTAGATTTCTAGATCTAGCAGTGAACTTTTGGCAGTAAAGTGCCGCACAGCAGTGAAACATCTCACAAGTCTTTTGGATACCAGCAGCCTCACGTTAAAAAGGACAGGAACGGTTCTTAATGTCACATAGGTTGTATAATTGTTTGATACAGTTCATTTTGACAGTTTAAAGACTTGAAGGTGCAGTGTGTGAGATTTAGTGGCATCTAGTGGTGAAGTTACAGGTTGCAACCAGCTGAATCCCCTCCCTCACCCCTCCCTTTCCAAGCGTGCAGTAGAACCTACGGTGGGTATCAGGTTTTCTGCCGTCGTCTGTCCTGATTTCATTTTGCTTCTTCATGTTTTCTCTTCTTTGACGGTGAGGATTCGCCCTCTCTCACTTTTTCTTGTGCTAAATAATAAGTCTGATCCTCCATTTGTCAAAATTTGCGTTCTCAAACTTCTCACAACACAAAATGATCAGCAGCACCGGCAGCAACCACTGATTCTACTTCTTTCTACGTCCAGCCGGAGCTACAGCGCCACCAAATTCAAGCTGCTGGTTCAGCGTAAAATGCGTGAAAGGCGCCCTCTAGAGGCAGTGTTTGGTTTGTCCTGGGCTACTGTAGAAACATGGCGGCGCAACATGGCGGCCTCTGTTGAAGAGGAACCGCTCCCTCTGTAGATATGAAAGGCTTGTTCTAGACTAACGGGAACACAGCGATTCATAGCTGATTACTCACCAATAAAATTATGGTTTTTGTATATTCTGTACTACTTTCAATTTCTGCTAATAGAGCCCCCCAAATCTTACACACTGCACCTTTAAATGAGACTTTCACCATTGTCAGGAAAGAACCATTTGTTTTATAAGATTCTTAGTATTTTATAATATAATAATATATAATAATATTGATGCCAAAACTGACAAACAAGGAATACTCAAAACTGCCAAATGAATGATTTGATTTATTTATGCCACACAGACAGAAAGTGACTTTCATTTTCATGATCTGAAAACTCCATATAACATATAACAGTCTGAAAACTCTATGTAACTTTTCATAAACAATATTAACTTCCCACATTTTTGGCACTTGTGGAGAAAACAGGGCTCCCTCACCTCCGAAACCCCAGTTTAAGCACCCTGTAGGCGTGTCCAGATGTGTTTTGACTGGTACTGTAAGTGTAAACTTTTAAAAAAACTATGTAATGAAACTCCGGAGAAGAAAGCCAGCGTGTGTGGACTTGTCTGTATAATGACGTGTTTTCCATTAAGGTTGGAAATACACCTGAGGGAAATCAACTCAGTGCTCGGACCCCCGAGACCACAGGCTCTTCTAATTAACATGTCAGGGTTCGCTGGGGACCAATGCTAAAAAATAAACACTTTACTCGACATCACTGAAAATAGTTTTGAGGCTAGATGTTAAATAAATGAAATAACAAGGCCGAGGCCATCAGAGAGTTAATAGAGCTATGTATTTTCTAAAGTTTGATGGGAAAAATTACCATTTATGAACATAATGAGAGTAAAAAGTCATCAAATCTGACACAGTCAGAGAATTTAGAGTCCATATATATATTAAAAATGGTAAAATAATCATATTGTAGCCTATAATAAATTGTTTTTGTGAGACAGTTAACATTGTGTAGTATAATAATGGTAAGGAAGTATGTTAACTGGAGAAAAGCTGGTAAAAATATACAATTTTTCTGCTGAAGTCTCTACAAAAAGCGCCTTCCATAGACATTAAACTGAAATATGTTCACGTTTTCTCAGTGTTTTTGAGTCCTGCATGTCGTACAGAAGCAGTAAATGAACAACAGCTTTGTTGTTTTCCCAGCAAATTGGTAATTGAAAAGGTGAGCAGGTGCGTCCGCCCTTCGTTTCCGTGGTTACTCTGAATCTTCTGGTGTTTTTCCCGGTTTGTGTGGATCTCTGAGCAGCCCCCAGCGGAACCGTAGACCATATAAATTCAGAAAACTTCCCTCCTGCGAAGCCGCCTACAGATGCGAGTAGGCCGCTGTAGCGAGAAGCTTTGGGTACGTAACTGGATACCATTGCTTGTAATTGTGAAGTATAAACATTTTCTCGGTGTTAAATTGGTTTGTCTGTCATGTAATGCTAATGCTAATGCTAACAACATTTGCGTAACATTTGTAATAAAGTGAGGTCAAAGTGCATATAGAAAAAGAAAACATTGGAAGAACATATCATACACTATGTCAAAAAACAGGATCATTATATTGCAATTGTATTGTCTTTCTCAGCATTACATTGGGATATCTGGCACATTGCTAATGCTAGAAATATTTGTATAATATTTACAATAAAGAAGGTCAATTTTAATATAAAAAGGAAAAAATATGTTCTTTATTCTATACTGTGTCCAAATAACGGGATAATTATACTGAACCTGAACTGTCACTGTTACAGTGGTTCATGCAATGCTAATGCTAACAACATTTGCATAATACTTAAGGAGACAATGAGGAGAAAGAACCAGTATGTCCTGTATTGTACACCATGCCAAAAAAAAACCAGGATACTTATATTGTAACTGTATTGTCTTTCTCAGCATTACGTTGGTTTATCTGTCGTAATGCTAATGCTAGCAATATTTATGTAATTATTACAGTGAAGCGAGGTAGACGGCCAACTTTTTACAAAAAGAACAAATATGTTCTTTATTGTATTCTAAGTAAAATAAACAGGATTGTAAGTGGACTGTCTTTGCCGCTGTTACAGTGATTTATCTGTCATGCAATGCTAATGCTAACAGTATTTGCATGATACTTGCAAGAAAGTGAGGTGAAGTTCACTGTGTACATAGATAATAAACAACTACGACCCTTTTCATGTAGAAAAAGTACAACTGTGTTCTTTTTTATACACCAAGTCAAAACATAGGATAATTATATTGCAATTGCATCGTCTCTGTCATTGTTGTGTTGATTTATCTGTCATGCATTGCTAATGCTAACAACATTTGCAAAATATGTGCAAAACAATGAGGTGGAACTTCACTGTGTACATAGATAAAGAACAACTATGGCCCTGATTGTATATTGTGTCAAAAAACAGCATAGTTATATTGCAATTGCCTTTTTTTCCGCTGTGTTCAGCTGGTTTATCTGCCATGTACTGCTAATGCTAACAATATTTGCATAACATTTGCAATAAAATGTGGTCAAAGGCTAAACAGAGGCTTTATATTGAAAAATAACACTTATGTTCTTTATTTTTATCAAAAAAAGGAAAGTTATATTGCAATTGTGTTTCTTTTTCAGTGTTACATTCATGTAATGCTAATGCTAACAGTATTAGCATAATACTTGTAAGTGCGTTCTGTATTGTATTCATTTCCTTTGCGTCAGCTTTTTTAAAAAATTATTTTACTGCTTTATTGCCATATTTGACATGTTTATATGTACTCATTCCACTCAGGTTTGGCTCCATGGATCTTTGCATCACCATCAAAGGCGTCTCCTTCCTCTTGCAGACGGGGCTGGGCATCATGGGTAACGTGCTGGTGCTGGCGGCCTACAGCCACATCGCCTTTGCGGAGCCGCGGCTGCAGCCCGTGGACAGAATCATGGCCCACTTGGCCTTCGCTAACCTGATGCTGCTGCTAACCCGCGGAGTCCCTCAGACCATGACCGTCTTCGGCATGCGCCACCTACTGGACGACGCCGGCTGCAAAGTGGTCATTTACGCTTACCGAATCAGTCGGGCGCTCTCCGTCTGCCTGACCTGCATGCTGAGCGTCTTCCAGGCTCTGACCATTGCTCCTGCGGCCGGGCCACAGTTGGTTAAGCTGAAGGCCAGGCTGCCCCAGCTGGTCGTGCCCACCTTCGTAGGTCTGTGGCTGCTCAACATGGCTGTTTGTATTGCAGCTCCATTTTTCTCTATAGCCCCTCGTAATGGAACCGTCCCAGCGTTCACCCTCAACCTGGGCTTCTGTCATGTTGACTTCCGCGACAATTTGTCCTACGTGATCAACGGTGCGGCCGTTTCCGGACGAGATTTCGCCTTCGTAGGCCTCTTGCTGGGCTCCAGCGGGTACATCCTGGTCCTTTTGCACAAACACAGCAAGCAGGTGAGGGCCATCCGCCGTTCCCAGGGAAGTTCCATGGAAATGCGGGCGGCTAAGACTGTGGTCATGCTAGTGGTCCTTTACGCCGTGTTTTTCGGCATAGACAACGTGATCTGGATTTACATGCTGACCGTGGCCCAGGTGCCGGGCGTAGTGGCGGACATGAGGGTGTTTTTCTCGTCCTGCTACGCTACGCTAAGCCCGTTCCTCATGATCAGCTCCAACAAGAAGCTGAAGGAGAGGATGGTGTGCGCGGCCGGTGAACACAAGCAGGAATCTGCTGAGGAATCAACTGACAAAAGTAATCTTAAATAAAAATCTGTTTCTAGAAATACTACTGATTTGATATATGTTAGCACTCTAAAACGGAATATCACCGTTTTTTATTTTTGCTGCTGACGGAACAAAACCCCTTTTCAGTTTTTGACATAATTTGAAAAAGCCTTTGAAAAATTTTATGAGGAATGGACCAAAAGAAACGACCCAAAATGACTTGGAAAAATGTCTGGTTCCATCGACTTACATTAAACGTAAAGTATGTTTTTTCCTTCTCCCGTAAAGTTCTTATTTTGGAGATACAAGGTTTTCTTCCAACAGCAGCATTTTATTTCTGCATAATTCAGGGTTTGTGACAATTCAATGTTTAATTGGCAACTCTCCTCGCTCTAAAGAAAATTTTTGATGGAAATTTTTGTTTTATAATTTTTATGTATCTGACAACATGGCTTTAATTTTAGAATCTCAAACAATTCCCACTGACTTTGATAATGCTGTAATATTGCTTTGTTTTCTGGGAAACTTCATATTCATAAAGCAGGAGCTCTAAAGTCTAATTTCAAGTATTTTTGTTTTTATATCGAGTCCCTTTACACGTTGATCAACAACATGTCAAGGCCTTTAAAACTTGTTGTTAAACTCCTTCTGACATCTTAGCTTGTTTATCTTTACTGTATGTTCCCCAAATGTGAGTTTTTTGTAATCTCTTAAAAGATATTAAATAAAAAAGGCTTCTCTCCGAACAGAGTGACTCAAACTGTATATGTGTACAAAATGTCCACCATTTAGACCATGTTTTAAAATAAGAGTCTCACAAAATGTTCTTTTTTTATTTATTCTGGCAAGACAAATATCCAACATGTAAAGATGTTTCTAACAGGTAATACGGGACTCTTGTTTGTTCCATTATTAGCTGATGCTGAGCAGCTTTAGTGAGCAGAGCAGCGTGAAGGAGAATTCCACTGACATTTCTAATTTTCTGCGTAATTAAATCATTATCATGTAATCAGAGAGATTCAGAGTGGTTTGGTGTGAAATGGTTCAGATGTCTTTACAGTGGTGGTGATAGGAACCAGGGATCGCCATGACTACAACACAAATATAGACATTTTATTTACTATCCAGAACCACCAGTGAACCTACACGAGTCTTCTGAGTTTATATGGAATGTTGATGATGGAAAATAGTGGAAAATCTGAAATAATAAGTTTTCCGTGGGGACTATTTTGCCTCACAGAGCCCTGCATTAAACTAGGAAGGAGAGTGAAACTGCTTATATAGTGGATTTAGCATTAATCACCCCCAGCTAATCTGCTAATACACTGTTGTAAATAGACGGTATGCGGGGTGCAGATCAGGCAGCTGGGCCCTTTTTGTTCTATGGAATCAGAATCATTATGTCATTGGTTTTATAAGTGCTCATACGCTAAAAGCTTTCAGAAAGATATCTCACTGTTGCTTCCAGCTTTCTACAAACTTTTAGAGCTCCAAGGGCTCATGGCTTTATATCTGATCTATAACACGTGCAATAAAGATCTTTAAAATATATATATTACAGTCACTTATCTAATTGGGAAAATATCACATTAATAAAGCCAGGGTGATGTGTAGGAAACAGAAACCTGTTTCTGCCACTGGAGAAAAATATAAAGCCATTTAGTAAGTCATAATAATGAGAAAGGGTTTCCCATAATTATGACTTAATATCTTATAATAATTATTTACTATCTCAAAATAATGAGACCATTTCTCATGATTATGACTTAATATCTCATAAAGAGTCATAATAATGAGGGAGTTTCTCACAATTATGACAATATCTCATAATAATTACGTTCTATCTTAAAATAATGAGACAATTTCTCATAATTATGACTTAATATCTCTTAATGAATCGTAATAATGAGAGTTTATCACAATTATGACTTAATATGTCATAATAATAACTTACTATCTCACTATTATGAGAAATTTGTTGTGAATTATGAGAAAGTAAGTCATAATTATGAGATACCAAGACATAATTATGTCACAATCATTTTAATGAGATACTGTTTTATAATTATAAGAAAAAGTCAATTCAAAGTTTATTTATAAAGCGCTTTTTACAACAGGTGCTGTCACAAAGCAGCTTTACAGAAAAATCCGGGTCTGAGCCCCCATGAGCGTCGCTAAGAGCAAGAGGAAGAGACACTGAGAGGACCCAAGACTCAAAAGGGCAACCCATCCTCCTCTGGTTGACACAGGATATCAAAACAGTAACAAAAGAGCAAAATGAGCAGAGAATAAGGTTTAAACATTAGTGTAAAATATTAAAATACAGAAAAGGGGAAAGCAGGGGAAACGATGTCTCTGATTAAATAGTTTGAGTCTTTGTAGCAGCACCATCATCAGGAGGGTCAGTTCATACAGGTGAGGTTTGCACAGCATTGTTCAGCAGGAAGCTTCATGGTGGTCAACCTGGTCCAGAAAGCGGGGGAGCAGTGGCACCTGGTCAAGGCAAACGAAGAACAGCATCAGACCCACAGGATGGGCAGCTGTTCAACTCGGCAAAGAAAACACACAGAGAGTCAGTTCTGTAAAGAGAGACTGATCACAGATTACAGTGTAACAGGGCAGCAGAGGCTCCAGCAGGTCAAGTTAATACAGCCTCACTAAGAGGGAGAAACCAGAAAGGTAACAGAGTCATGAGGCTCCCTGAGATGTCGGCGCCCCTCCACTCCACCATCAGCAAACCTGAGTGAGCGCGTAAGCAGCGGGACGACGGCACCAGCACTCCCAGTTTACCATAATACTCCATGACCATGAACCCCCAGATCTGCACTTTTTATCTAACAGGGAAGACTGGGGGGCTTTGTATGAGAAGCTGTCCCCCTGATGTAACTTTATTCATTCTAGGTACTAATAGTGAGCAGCACCTTGTGATCTAAAGAGGCGTGATGGTTCATAGTATAAGAGATATCCGTTTAGAGCTTCATATGTCAGTAAAAGAATTTTGTAATCAATGCGAAATTGTCACTTAGTATCTCATAATTATGATTTAACATCTAATAATTATGACTTACTATCTCATAATAACGGGATTTATTCTCATAACTATGACCTGTTGTCTCATAATTGTAACTTAGCATCTTATAATTATGAATTAGTATCTCATAATACTAGGATTCAATCTCATAATTATGATTTGATATCTCATAATTATGACCTTCTCATAGTTATGACTTAGTATCTCATAATACTTGAATTCAATCTCATAATTATGATTTGGTATCTCATGAGTATGACTAACCTTCTCATAATTATGACTTAGTATCTCATAACACTGAGACTCAATCTCATAATTATAATTTGGTATCTCATAATCATGACTTGTTTTTTCATAATAATGAAATTTAATCTCATAATTATGACTTAATATCTCATAGTTATGACTTGGCTTCTCATAATTATGACTTACTATCTCACAATAATGGGATTCAATCTCATAATTATGACTTACTTTCTCATAATTGTAAGAAAGTATTCTCATTATTATGAAATAGTAAGTCATTATTATGAGATACGAAGTCATAATTATGAGATGCTACGTCATAATTATGGAAGACTTTCTCATTACTATGACTACGATTTTTTTCCAGTGGCAGAAACAGCCTTTCACAGCATGAAACCCCACCTGAAAGTGTTCTTTACAGATTCTTTTATTGATCAGTCGTGAGAGTCACTGACCACAAAGCTGTGAAGACAGAGTCTATTCCTAAAAGAGTTTTGCAAAGTAGAATAAAGGTAAAGGTCTTTGTTTGGTATCATTATTATTATCATTACTATTATTGTTAATATTTATTTAAGATGTTGTTTTGTATTGTTTGGTTGTGCTATATATATATATATATATATATATATATATATATATATATATATATATATATATATAGACACATATAGGTAAGGCAAGTTTATTTGTATAGCTCCTTTCATACACTGTGATCATTTCTCATACAAATGAGAAAATACAAAGATCATTAAAATTGAAAATGCAAATAGACGTTGAAAAAACATAATTAAAACCTGATTATAAACAATAGATTTAAAAGAGAATCAAATAAACATTACATTAAAAGTTAAGATTAGGATATAAGGATAATAGAGTGCCGTTACAGGACTTAAGTGCAGCAGAGCTAACAGTGTTTTAAACTGGTCTTTGTTTTGTATCTTTATTATTATCATTACTATTATTGTTAACATTTATTTAAGATGTTGTTTTGTTTTGTTTGGTTGTGCTTTTTCTATTGATGCGGTCGTTTCTATGATTTTGTGTACTTTTGGCGGGGGGGGGGACCTTGAGCTGCGTACGCATGCGCCAAGCTTGTGCGCACGCGCGGTGCAAATCGGGCAGAGGACGCAGATTAGCCTTTAGGGTGGGAGACCGGAAAAAAACTCGCTGAGCGTCAAACACAAAGGTAAAAACATGATTTCTTTCCCTCATCCGTCGCTTCGAAACGCTGTTTTAGATGTTCGCACCACTGTGTCCGCGCACAGCTCTAAAAACGGGAGTTTTATTCGCGGCAAATCGACCATTTTCGGTCTTAAAGCCAGACTTCCGCTTATGAAGCCGATGAGTAACTGGTGCTAAGCTAAAGCAGCTAAGCTAAACAGCTCTCAGTCTGGCTGCGGCGCTGAAGTCAGGTTATTATTATTGTTCTCCAGCTTCCTGTTCGAATTTTCCATTCCACGTTTAACGTTCAGCCTCAAAAAGTAAGCGACACTGACTGTGAGGCCGAAGTTGGCTTCCTATTCGAATTTCCCCGTTCCACCTTAAACAGTGCAGCAGTTTACAGTCTGTCTGCCTCGGGCGCCAGAACGTAACTGCTGCCCATTTAAGGTGGAACGGGAAAATTCGAATAGGAAGCCAACTTCGGCCTCGCAGCCAGGGCACCGCTTACTTTCACAAACTGGGAAGATAACCTGCTAGCATTCCAGCTTTTTCAGAGTTTGTTTACGTTTTAGAGAGCGTGATAAAGTTAGTTAATTGTATAAGATGTGCTATTTTAGGTTAACTGGCGTTATCTGACGCTTTCCTTTCGCGTTAGTCTGCTAATCATATGATGAGTTAATGTGAGGTAAGCTGTCCAGCGTGATATGTGCCAGATTTTTAGCAGTAGTTGTATATTTTCGCTTTAATCTGTGAAGATAATGTTGTCTGATAAGTTGACCTGGTTAGTTTGTCCACAGAGGAGTGGAAGCCAGTATATATCTGTAAACTAAGGTTAGCCGATTGACTGTTTGGGTTTGGCCTGTCATTTAGTTGGCTTTATAAACAAGACACTGCACAGCACTGCTAGGTTGACCTTAATTTCTCAGTACAGCTGTCACAATTTCACATTTTCTGCTGACTGTGTAATATATGTGTATTTATGTATGTATATGTATATATGGATGTGTGTGTGTGTGTACGTGTACATATACATATGTGTCTGTGTGTATATATAGACACATAGGTAAGGCAAGTTTATTTGTATAGCTCCTTTCATACACTGTGATCATTTCTCATACAAATGAGAAAATACAAAGATCATTAAAATTGAAAATGCAAATAGACATTGAAAAAACATAATTAAAACCTGATTATAAACAATAGATTTAAAAGATAATCAATAAACATTACATTAAAAGTTAAGATTAGGACATAAGGATAATAGAGTGCCGTTACAGCAGAGCTAACAGTGTTTTAAACTGAGCTAAAAGCTGCTCAAATAGGAACGTTTTAAGCCTGGATTTAAAAGTGTCCAGTGTCTGGGCTCTTCTAATGCTCTCTGTCAGCTGAGTATTTAATGTTTGGCGTAATTTTTTTATTTAATATTTGTATTATTCTTTACTGTGTTGCACTAAATCCAGTTAAACTGGACTAATTGTGCTCTGTTTATATGCAGTTGGTCAGTGCTTCTCTGTAGAACTTTGGACACTCGACCATTTGCATGCGTAAATGGTTCTTCACATGGTGAAAGCTTTCCTCAGATTGATGAAGAATATGTTGTATATCTCTGTAACACAAAAAATGTTGCTGTTGTTACAATGTCAAGCTTGTAACAGCAGCAGAACCACTAAAGGGGTCTTTACTGAAGAACCTTCGAAGAACTATCTTGAAGAGTGTTCAAGTACTAGAATATCCAGAATATGTCCAGAAAAGCATCCGGTATTATATTGTGACATAATTTATCACTAATATATGCTCTGTTGTCTACAGTATGTTTGTTTGAGAATCGGCTTTACTGATGTGTGGTTTGTTCCTTTTACTTTAGAAATGGCAGCAATCCGTAAGAAGCTGGTGATAGTCGGAGATGGGGCTTGCGGAAAGACCTGTCTCCTCATCGTCTTCAGCAAAGACCAGTTCCCCGAGGTCTATGTGCCTACAGTGTTTGAAAACTACGTGGCCGACATTGAAGTGGATGGAAAACAGGTAAAGTGAGACAAGTTAATCTCATTCCAGGTCGTCTCACGCCAAAAAGAGGAACACAGGACTACTAAACTGGTAGTTAACCCAGTTCTGTGTTCCTGGAAGTTGGTTTTGGATCATGCGTAATCCTGTCTTACTTCCCCAAGAAATTTCTATGAAGATTATGGTGTTATATTAAAGTCACACCACACCATTTATTATTTTTTTTATTTTAATCATTCCATGTAAACGTGCCATTTGAGTGCGCGGGGTTTTATGTGGCAAGAAACAAAACATTTTTTTGGTTTTTTAAGCCTTTTTTTGCATCATTAAAATAGTGCATGAATATTTTTGTATGTATAGTACTGTGTAAAAATTTTAGGCTCATGAGAAAATAAGAATCACATAAGAATTAAAAAGCTATTTCTATGTTTGTATGCTTTGTATTTGCCTGTATCTGGGCACTGTCTCACTAATATGAGAATAAATACAAATAACATTAATACAGTAAGTATTAATAATACAGTAAGTATGATTTTGTATGTTGGTGTGTTTAACAGGGTGTGTCAGGCTTAAAATGTTTGCTCCATCACATAAAATAAAGAGTGAATTTTTTTTTAATGAAATTTTGCGGTATTCACAGAAAAATCATGTTATTTGCTGACATTATGAGGTCTAACCTTGATACCAGGGAGAGTGGCAGCCAGTTTAGCATGAAATAATCCACTCTGTCACTACTTCAGTGTGTTATTTTTTTTTTAGTAAAAGCAAAACTGTGCAAAGCAAAAAATGTGTGACTTTAACATTTTAATCAGCAACTGGTTGGTTCCAGTTATTTGGAATTATTCACCTGTGATTTTTATTTTTATTTATTTTTATTTTTTGGGTCTACTTTTTCATTTTCCAACCCTAAGTAGAAATGCATAAAATAAATTAATGAATAATTTTATGTTTTAGGGCAGCCAGTAACGCAGTCACCTGTATGGTGCCTTGTCTTGAACTGTATTGGCTCTGACTTCAGCTCTGAGTTACTTTCTTCACCTTCACTGCTTTCTGCCAGTTATTCAGAAAGTTAGAGTAATTTTGGGGAAACTGCGTTTGCTACGTTGTCTGTTAACTGTTTTGTGCGTTGTGGTCAGGTTGAGCTGGCCCTGTGGGATACAGCCGGCCAGGAGGACTATGATAGGCTTCGTCCGCTCTCCTACCCAGACACTGACGTCATCCTGATGTGCTTCTCGATCGACAGCCCCGACAGTCTTGGTGAGTGCATTAATAATAATTATAATAATAATAATAATAATAATAATATGTGGGCGGCACGGTGGCGCAGTGGGCAGCGCTGTTGCCTCACAGCAAGAAGGGCCTGGGTTCGATTCCCGGCCGGGTGACCAGGGTCGTTTCTGTGTGGAGTTTGCATGTTCTCCTCGTGTCTGCGTGGGTTTCCTCCGGGTACTCCGGTTTCCTCCCACGGTCCAAAAACATGCAGTCAGGCTGATTGGACATGCTGAATTGCCCCTAGGTGTGAGTGTGTGACTGTGTATGTCTGTCTGTCTGCCCTGCGATGGACTGGCGACCTGTCCAGGGTGTATCCTGCCTTCCACCCAATGACAGCTGGGATAGGCTCCAGCACCCCACCGCGACCCAGAAGGATAAGCGGTTTAGATGATGGATAATAATAATAATAACAATAATAATAATAATAATTATTATTATTATTATTATTATGTCAATCAGGGTAGAATCATCAATATCAACATACATTTTTAAAACCAGACAATATTTTATACCTCAACATCCAGCGTATCTTGAACAGTTGCTGTTTTTCACGACTGAACAGGCAACTAAAATTAATACAAAAATACTTCCACACTTAAATACTACATTTATTCTAAAGCTGTTGTTTGACAGATGTTATTGATAATTACAGATAAATCAATAAGTGGTGCCAGCTTTATTATTAATATAACAGTTTTTGTAGTTCTTTATTTCTTTTTATAATTTTTTTTTTGTGTAGTTTGTTCCTGAGTCTGTGTGGGTTTCCTCCCACAGTCCAAAGACATGCAGTCAGGCCACTTGGACTTGAATGCTAAATTGCCCCTAGGTGTGAGTGTGTGTCTGTCTGTCTGTCTGCCCTGTGACGGACTGGCATCCTGTCCAGGGGGTTTCCTGGCTTCCACAACCCAGAAGGATAAGCGGTGTAGAAAGTGTGTGTGTGTTAAATATTAGTATTAAATAAATTATGCACATATTCTGTGGCCGAAATAAAATTTCAGGAAATTGTCAAAAATAAAGCCCCCAAAAAAGCGTATTTTGTTTCCCTTATCTATATTCAGCTGTTCTGCTGCTACATCCTTTGTAATTCAATGCATTTTGCTGTTGTGTTTTAGATATATATAATTTTTTGAGCTTTGATGAAATTTGTGAGGTCATAGATTTTCACCGCAGTGAAGCAGCGATTCTCAGCCAGATAACATTTTTGATTAGTAAATTATTCTTTAATAAAAAAACCTTGTACATTTGTTTTCCTGTACAGAGAACATTCCAGAAAAATGGACTCCTGAGGTGAAACACTTCTGCCCCAACGTCCCCATCATCCTGGTGGGCAACAAGAAGGACCTGCGTAACGACGAGCACACCCGGCGTGAGCTGGCTAAGATGAAGCAGGTACGATGATGGAGACCCTCACAGCTGGTTGATTCAGTTAGCTGTTTAACTTTTAATAAATCTGGACTGACTGACCTGTGAGAGTGCCGGACCTAAACTTTGATAAAGCACGTTTGACATTAAAGGTAGATATAGAATAGATAGATAAAGCCAGGGCTGATCTCTAAATTAGCAGTAATAAAGTTAGTAAATAATAAATGCTTTAATAAAGGTTATTAGCTGTTGCTTCCTGAGTGCTGCTACTCTAAGCTAAAATAATGCCTTATAAACTCTCATAGCTTTTCTGATGGGGATGTATTGCTCTCTACTAAAACAGGACTGACCAGCGTTACACATGATTGTAAATATTAGCCGTACAGAAAGCGCTTTAACAGAAATGAAAACCCCTTTACTGTAAAACTGCATCAGATAAAACATGTAGAATGTTTTTTTACAAGATTCAAATGTTTGTGTTTAATCTAGAATGGTCAAAACGTTAAATCTAGAATATGCAACAGTGTTAGCTTGGTGCTCACATACAATTAGAAAGGCCATAGGGATGCTAGCAGAAACTAGAATTATCATAGTGTTTTTCCCCCTCTATCATGTTACGTGACAGTATATTGCTTATTTCTGTACTATATAAATAAGAGTTGTTGTTGTTATTATTATTATTATGATTATTATTATTATTTTTAGTTCACATTCCTGGTTTGATCAATCATCATTTAAAAGAGAAAAAAAATTTCTTCCATCAAATATAGTGACTTTTGCCACTGCCTTTAATATATCTTCAGATTCTTATTGATGTCACAGTGGGCGGGGCAAAATGTTAACCAAAAACATCGTTTCACCTCCTCCACCTCTGATGGAGAGAAAACGCTCAGCTAGCTCAGAGACCCTGCCTTAATTTTTACACTCAAATACACAAATCACAGCACAGAAAGAGAATTAATAATAATTTCTCGTTCACGCTGACTTCAAAATTTCCGCTGCTCTTCTCTGCAGGAGCCCGTCAAACCAGAAGAGGGCAGAGACATGGCCAACCGGATCTACGCCTTTGGATACATGGAGTGCTCCGCCAAGACGAAGGACGGAGTGAGGGAGGTGTTTGAAATGGCCACCAGGGCGGCGCTGCAGGCCAGAAAGGGCAAGAAGGGCACTAAATGCCTCCTACTGTAAACGGACAGGACTCTACGCTCATTCTGTGGGGGAGAGGAAGGAAGGGGGAGTGCCAGTCCCCCTCCCGGTTCCTCGGCCTGAAATGACTGTGCTCAAATGTAAACCGCTTTTTATTTTAACGTCTTTTAAAACCAGTACAACTAGTTATATGGAAGTTTTTTTTTTGTCAGTATTTAAAGAGGCAGAATAAGGAGCAATGCCGTTTATTGTACCTTACACATAATTGAATTTGCCATATTAACTTGCGCCGAGCCATCGGTAAAATGGGTCTGCCAGTTGACGTTCCGAGTCGTGTCTGCTTAACCGAGCTACTCGTATTGGTGCATTTTGTCATTCACTGTGACCTTTAGCCCATGCAGTTATTTCGGATTTCAAATATGCAATGAAGACGAAAAAGATGATCAGGACCAACGTGCAATACAGAAAACATACGCGCGTCTGTGTGTTTTCTGGAATGCATACACTTGGACAAGACTTGAAACTCTCTTTTTTCTTTGGTGTTTTTTTTCTTTCAAAACAAACAGGAACCTAATTTGGTATCTTTGTGTATTAAAAAAAAAACCTTTTTAAGAAGCTTGTGGCTGTTGAATTACTGCTTTGAAGCAACTTTCATAAAGACGCTGAGCAGGAAATTATTCAGCAGGCAATGTTTGAGATTGTAAGAAAAAGCTTTGGCTTTTATTTGTTTAAAAAGAACTTAAAAGACGGGAGAAGTGGATATTTTAACATTCAAGTTGACCTCAAAAACAGATTAAATAGAGAACTGTTTTTTTACACCACACAAAAGAAAAGAAAACAACCATTTTCACTTACGCCACACAAGAACTGTACTGAAAACCCAAAAACAGTCGGTGAGATTTGCGCTACGTTTCCATCCTAAGGATTTTTTTGGCAACACTTTATTTGCGTGGTCCACTTTAGATGCTTTGTAGATACTTAATTTACTTTCAGGTTACATTCAACTAAATTGACCACCATTTTCTTTAAGTTAAGTGACCCTTATTAGTCCCACAGTGGGGAAATTTCACCTCCGCATTTTGACCCATCCATGCTTGAAACACCACATACACACTAGTGAACACGCACATACTAGGGGGCGGTGAGCAGCCCTATCCACAGCGCCCGGGGAGCAGTTGGGGGTTAGGTGTCTTACTTAAGGGCACCTCAGTCACGTACTGTCAGCTCAGGGATTGAACCAGTGAACTTCCGGTTACAAGGCTGGTTCCCTAACCTCCAGCCCACAACTGCCAAACTCTAAACCTGCTCTAAACCCAACCCTCACCCTGTTCCCAGCCCTAAACCTGGTCCAGATCCTAACCCCAACCCCACCACTGAGTTTAAACAGTTTGAACATCTGCAGATAATCTATAGGGGACCAACCAAATAAAGTGAGACCATTATTTTCATACATTTGTTAAAAATGATGGTTCTTCAAGGGTTTCTTAGTGAACAGAATGGTTCTATATAGAACAATCAACATCCAAAGAACCCTTTCTATGATTCAGCGGTTCTTTGCATCATGAAAGGGTTCTTCAGATTGATGGAGAATGTGCCGTAGATGGTTCTATTTAGCACCTTTTTGAAAAGGGTTCTACTATGGTTACGATATCAAGCTTGTAATAATAGAATAACCCTTTTTGGTGCTATATAGAACCGTCTACAACACATTCTCCACCAGTCTGAAGAACCGTTTCATGATTAAAAGAAGCCTTTAATCATGGATTTATATAGAACCAGTTTCTTTACTGAAGAACCCTCTTAAGTGTGTAGGTGATGGAAGTTGTTGGCAACTTTTTTTCCCATTCAGCTTCAGAAATGCTGCAGAACTTCTTTAGAAATGTTTTTTGTTTTCTTTTCTTACCCCAGGAGAGATAACACTTCCAGATTTCCAGAAATTTCCAGGTTAAAATGTTAACTGTCTCATAACGGTTCCAGCGGAAGAAACATAGTCATCATAATATAAAATAAACATCAAGCCTCGTTCTCCAATATCTTCCTAAGTGTGTTCTTGAGAAAGGTCCTAACAAAAAGTCTACATCAGATTCATGACGTGTTCTTAAAGCACAGAACCGTTCTCACCTTTGTGCTCGAGTGTGTCTTTAAGGGTTCTTTAGTAAAGAAAATGGTTCTATATAGAACCATGTACACTCAAAGAGCCCTTTGCATGCTTCAGATTAATGGAGAATGTGTTGTAGATGGTTCTATATAGAACCTTCTTGAAAAGGGTTCTTCTAGTGTTACAAGCTTGACATTGTAACAATAGAAGAACCCTTTTGGGTGCTACAGCACATTCCTTTAATCATGCAAAGGGTTCTTGGAGTGTTCATCTACATAGAACCATTTTCTTTACTAAAGAACCCTTGAAGAACCCTCCTCTTTGTAAGATTGTAGATAAAAACTGGTGAATGTTAGAATCTTCGTGAAAAAAAGCGTAAGTGGGTTTTACGAAGAAATTTCTTCTTAAGAACGGCTGGTGAAGGAGGCTCAGTGTCCTTATCAGTAGGTTATGGGGAAGTTGTGACGTATAAATTTGGGATGGAAACATCAAACAACTTTATCAATGTATCAAAACTTGTGTGTCCATTTTTGCAGGAAATGACAAAGCATTTAAGTCTATTTAAAGAAAACAAGCTCAGAGTTTTTCTGTATACCTCATGGGTGCACAGCTCCGGTCCCAGAGGGCAGCGTCCAGCACGATTTGGTGATTCACCTGCTTAAAAACGCCTGATTACACTCATCTGTTAATTGCCAGGTTTAGTGGGTGTGTTTGGGTAGTGAAACTATCAGACTGTGTTGACCCTCCAGGGCCGGAGCTGCGCACCCTGATACGCACTTTCACTTTCCTGTTGCGCAGAACGTGGATGGAAACATAGCTATTTATAGACTCATACAGGCCCTGAAGCAAACAGAAACAAGAAAGAATTCAAAACATCTGACCAAACAGAAATGTGCACAGCTGCCTCTCTGACCGAGAATGGAAATGACAGCCACACCCACACAGCGCCCGCCACGCTCGGATGCATATGACAGCACTCCACATCTCTCACACACACAAACACACGAGCAGACACTCACTGCCGTCATTTTACACGATCTGAACACCTTTAAACACCTTACGGTTTTATTATGATTATGTGTACAGCTTATTTTGAGGTGCTTTTCCCTAAATTATGATTTCAAAATGCCTCACAGTGAATCTCACTGCAAGCGAGGAGCGTCTATAGTACCCGCTAATGCTGTGTGGTTGTGTGTGTGTGTGTGTGTGTGTGTGTGTATGCAGTACTGTGCAAAAGTTGGACATATGATACTTAAAGAGCTGTTTATCTGGTCTGCAAGTGTCATTTGCTCAGAACAACACAATAAATACCAATGAATACAATAAACCTAAATTTCCAAACCTCTCCTTGGTGCAGCCCAATATTAATTGCAGTTATCATCCAATACTGGGTTAATCAATACTATAATAAATCAGATGTGCTGATTTAGTGTCCAAGAGAAAACCGGAACCAAATTTTATTCTTCAAACTTCTAGTAATGTTTTACTGCATTATTGTTTGTGTTTATTCTATTAGTATATAGTGCAAAGCAAGCAAAAACACACTTACTGTCCAGATAAATGGTTCTAAATAACGCGCTGATGTGCAAAAGAGAAAATGATCTGTAGAGCTGTTTATCTGGGTAGTAAGGATGTATCTCTTCAAAAAAAAAACCCACAAATATAACAATAAATACAAATAGACAAACAAGCAATCCATTGTGATTTGATGTGTGTGGATAAACCAACAACTTCCCAAGCTCTATTTATAGTTACCGTCCAGTACCTGGTTCATCTAATCAATCCTTTATTAAATTAAATCAGGTGATGGAACCTGAACAAATCCATGTGATGAGAGAAAAGGAACCAAACCTGTGTTCTTTTAACCTACATATTCAAAACCTAACTAATTCTGACTACTGTATTTATGATTATTTATATGTATTATAATCTTATACAGTGTTTTACTGGCAAAAACACACTTACAGCCCAGACAAATGGTTTAAAACAGTCTTCTTGGCTGCACAAGACTTTTGCACAGTATGTTCAACGTATATGTATAGACAGTCAATGGCAAAATGTCTTTGTAAACTTTGATAGATGTAAAAATAAAATGATTCCACATAATTTTAGTCCATTTCTAATGATCCAATACTGTTTGAGAACATTTCTATGTATATGCAGATAAATTGCTGCTGTCGGAACAAAACCTTGTATCTCCCGAAATGACTTTACAGGAGAAGGGAAAAAAATTCTTTTCTTTTAATGTAAGTCAATGGAGCCAGACTTTTTTCCAAGTCATTTTGGGCCGTTTCTTTTGGCCCATTCATCATGACATTTACACACAATGTAAACAGCAACAAGCATTTTCAAATTATGTCAAAAACTGAAAAACGACAAAAAAGGAGATGCGAGGTTTTGTTCTGACAGGAGTGATATGCTTCTGTAAGTGACCTATGTGTTCCAGCGCAGTGCTGAAACCACAGTGCTGAAACCACAGTGCTGCAGTGCTCACCGTACCTGGAGGCCGTTCCACAAAGCAAAGTATGTTGGTTAGCCAGACAACTGAAACTGAAACTGAAAGTCAAGCCTGCCCAATCAGAGGAGACCTAAAGGACTTTCCTGTTGGACAGTCTTTCCTTTAAGCTTTAGTTCTACAGCCAAGTCTTTATGGAAAGACCCTCCTGCTCTTTAGGAGTCACTGGTGTTTTTTGTCTGGTGCTCGAGAGCGTGCGATGAGGATAGGGACAAGGGCGAGCGCTGCTATCAGCCCAGCCAGCAGGGGGCGGTAGAACAGCCAGCCTGCAGCGATGATGAGCAGAGAGAGACAGCAGGACACACACAGAGCGAACAGCTTCAAACCCACAGACACCAGATCCCTCAGCACAGGAACCCAGTCCACTGCAGAGCAGAGAGAAACAACAGTGTTTTTACACACAGACCAACGACACTCACGAGCCTCCAAAGGTGAGCCTGAGTCAAGTCGAGAATCTCTGAGGTGCGAGTCTGAATCTCTGAAGTGTGATTCTGAGTCGAGTCTGGGGTCTTTAAGGTATGAGTCTGGGTCGAGTCTGGTGTCTTTGAGGTGTGATTCCGATTCAAATCTCTATAGTGTGAGTCTGAGTAAAGACTGGAGTCTTTAAGGTGCAATTCTGATTCGAGTCTCAGTAGTGTGAGTCCGGGTCGACTGTGAAGTCTCTGAGGTGTGAGTCCAAGTCGAGTTTGGGGTCTTATGGGTGTGAGTCTGAGTCAAGTCTGGAGTCTTTAAGGTGTGAGTCGAGTCTGGAGGCTTTAAGGTGTGATTCTGAGTCGAGTGGAGTCTTTGAGGCGTGAGTCTGAAATGAGTCTGCAGTCTTCAAGGTGTGAGTCTGGAGTCTTTGATATGCAAGTGAGTCTGGAGTCTTTAAGGTGTGAGTCTGAGTCGAGTCTCTGTGGTGTGAGTCTGATTCGAGTCTGGAGTCTTCAAGGTGTGAGTCTGAGTCGAGTCTGGAGTCTTTGAGGTGTAAGTTCGAGTCAAGTCTGGAGTCTTTAAGGTGTGAGTCTGAGTTGAGTCTCTGTGGTGTGAGTCTGAGTCGAGTCTGGAGTCTTCAAGGTGTGAGTCTGAGTCGAGTCTGGAGTCTTCAAGGTGTGAGTCTGAGTCGAGTCTCTGTAGTGTGAGTCCATGTCGAGTCTGGAGTCTTCAAGGTGTGAGTCTGAAATGAGTCTGGAGTCTTCAAGGTGTGAGTCTCAGTCGAGTCTGGAGTCTTTAAGGTGTACGTTTGAGTCAGGTCTGAAGTCTTTAAGGTGTAAGTCTGAGTCGAGTCTCTGTAGTGTGAGTCCAAGGCAAATCTTTCAGGTGAATCGCTTTAAGGTGCGATTCTGAGTCGAGTCTGGAGTCTTTAGGGTGTAAGTCCATGTCAAGTCTCTACAGTTTGAGTCTGAGTCGAGTCTGGAGTTTTCGAGTGTGAATGTGTTTTACCGAGTGTGTAGATGATGCGAGTCGTCAGACTGATGCTGAGGAACATGAGGAACCATCCGCCGGCCCTCAGAGCCCACGTCTTCATATCGTTCAGCTGATGCTCCTTAGCAAAGACCTCCTACACACACACACACACACACACACACACACACACACACACACACACACCCAAACACACACCCACCCACACACACACACACACCCAAACACACACCCACCCACACACACACACACACACACACACACACACACCCAAACACACACCCACCCACACACACAAACTCACTCTTATCAGGATCACGAGTGACTGTAACTATAAATCAGTTCAAATGAGGCTGAATGGGAATTTTGTCAATATTCTACAAAGCTTTTCCAACGTAGCAACAGTTGCTATGTGAGAACACATTAGTGGGAGGAGCACAGACAGGTCAGGTATCTCACATATCACCTGCTATAACAACATTATACCGTATCTTTATTTGAATTATTTATGACTCGTAATTCACTGAAACAAGAACAGAAATCAAATATTAATTTAATTAATGTAACTATATCACTAATTATGTACTTACTGTAATTAGAACAGTGCAGTATAACAGACAGTAATAACTCTAGACTTCTACAGGTTTAAAGCCTTTCAGGAGGTGCTAGAAATGTGCCAGGACTCCAGAATCTAAGACAGGAATGCACTGTTCTAGATAATGCTATACCATTGGTTCTAGACACAGACAAAAGCAAGTAGGTCTATTACACTCAATCAAACTCAATATAAAAAAATTACTTTATCAATCAGCAGTGATTAGTTAGCAGCTTGCATGGTGATAATGCATCTTCATAAATCTATGAAGGGGTTGTTACCAAAGCTGTTTTTATTGTTTTGCCTTTTAAAAAGAAAAAAAAACAAAAACTTTGCTCGATTAATTGTCAGAATCACTGGTAGATCAGAGATGATTGATACTGAACTCAAACTCAACATCCTGACATTATCAGATGATAATTAAATATGTGATTAAATATCAGATAATTCAATTAGATTATACATAAACTAACTTTAATAAAGTTAATAAAAACAAAGTTTTCAAAATGGTTCTATATAGCACCAAAAGGGGTTCTGTTATTGTTACAATGTCCTACACACTTAAAAAAGATGGTTTTTCAAGGGTTCTTTAGTAACGAAAGTGCTTCCATATAGAACCATAAACACTGAATGAACCCTCTGCGTGATTAAAAGGTTCTCTGCATGGTGAAACAGTATGTCAGAATGACAGAGAATGTGCAGCAGATGGCTCTATACACCAGCATGCATCACAGTAGAACCCTTTTCAAAAACGTTCTATATGGAACAATCTACAGTACATTCTCCATCAGTCTGAAGAACGCGTTCACGGTGCAGAGAACCTTTTAAGTATGCAAAGGGGTCTCTGAGTGTTCATGGTTCTATATGGAACCATTTTTGCTACTTAAGAACCCTTGAAGAACCATCATTTTTAAGAGTATTGTTAGAAGAACCTTTTGGTGCTATATAGAAACATAAAACCGGATTCTCTAATAAACTGAAGAACCACTTCACCATGCAAAGCACCAATTAGGCCTGCAAATGGTTCTATGTAGCACTCATGGTTCTGAACGGAACCATTCCCTTTACTAAAGAACCCTTGAAGAACCATCATTTTTCCACTATAGGTCCTCTATGGTTACAAGTCAAAGAACCTCTTTTGTGTGTGTGTGTGTATATATATATATATATATATATATATATATATAAAAAACAACAGACCAGCAGCTCGTACCTCAGCGGTGAGCTCCTCCAGGTAGAGGATCTCCAGAGTGTCTCCTGATTGAGTCTTAAAGGGCATCAGTCTCTCTTCCTTCTGCATGGCCACCACACTCACCTGCACCAGTGATAAACAATATGACTCTTAAATATCAGATCAAATCAGGGCTGTTCACTCGTATCAATACAGCCGATTAGCGCACACATGATCAGTTCAGGTACATTAGCATAGCTAAAAACAGCAGCAGCCACCTGAAAGACTGAATTTGTCTATAATTTTATCCATTTCTAGATTTTTTTTTAAATAAATGTACAGATTTTTTATTAATTTTAAGATTTTTTATAGATATGAAGGCCTGTGGTTTGCTCAATGCTAACTGCCAAATGCTATAAGCTTCCATTACTTGTTAGCCACAGTAAATTTCTTCTTTTTTGGTGCTGTGTGTTGTAGCAGGAGACGGTTACTGGTTAAAATATGAATGGAAACACTCATAACACTCAATATGGTGTCTGTTTACAGAAAAAGTCCCACCCTTAAATAAAAAGAGCCAATCAGCTTGCAGGTTACGCCGGGAGCAGCGAAGGGTTGACGATGTCGTTGCGCAAGCAGCCCTTTTGTGGAGATCTGCACTAGCGCAGTAGCCAGAACAACCCTAAAAATCATGTTTTTTGTGTATTATTGAGCCAAATGTACATAATATTTATGTCATATTTTACCGCTGGTTTCAAAAATGTTTTAGATGGGAATTTGACCAGTTTTGTGTATTTCCGTCTCAGAGAGGAGTCTGGCCTTGTTTGGTTGGAAATAACTGCCCAGTGGAGTTGCAAAGATGGCCGAGTGAACAGGCTGTCCTATAAAGATTTGGTTTTAGTGGCTAAAGACGCTTTTCCACTGTATGGTACCAGCTTGACTCGACTCAGCTCGACTCGCTTTTGGTACCAGTTACTTCGTTTTCCACTGCAGATATAGCCCCCTCAGTGTAGCTGTCTGGGAAAACCAATCAGTAGTCTGTAGTGTTTTTACGTCACCTTTGGGTATCGGCTTACCTCACTTGGAACCTCGACGAACATGGTACCAAAAAGTACCAGGTACCATTACCACAGTTACCACTGAAAACTAAAAAAGGCAAGTGGAGTCGAGTCAAGTCACCGGTACCAGGCAGTGGAAAAGTGCCTTAACAGGCTGTAATGGTCCTTGATTGACTGACTGATTAATCGATTGTTTTAATTTTACACTGTTACGAATTTAAATCAATATTTAAATTTAACATTTTTAATGCAATGTCCTACTGTTGTCTATTTATAGATTGGTTGTTGTTTGTTGTATATATGCTAACTGCTAAACGCTATAAGCTTCCATTACTTGTGGTGCTGTAGTGAATTTGTATCGCTTTAAACAGTGAGGGTCAGTGTGTGAATGAGGATGTATGTTAGCTGTACGTTACTCACTGTTTGGGGTGGTCCAGGGAAAGACCCTTCACCACTGAGCCCAGCATAAGAGAAACTCACACGCACATCTCCAACCTGTGCACACACACACACACACACACACACACACACACACAAACACACACACACACACACACAAACACACAAACACACACAATATTAAACAGCTGGTCACTTTTGCTCCAGCAGGTTATTGAGGTGTGGTTATAGTGCTGTGTGAGGAATGTGACTGTAATGTCTCTGAGGCAGTGTGTGTGTGTGTGTGTGTGTGTGTGTGTGTGTGTCTGTGAGTGTATTTTCGGTGGTTGCTAAGGTGTTGCTTGGCTGTTGCTATGTACACACAGGTAGTTACAAAGTTCTTGCAAGGCCGTTGCTATGGTGTTCACAGCAGGTTCTAATGTGTGTGTATGTGTGCTAGTATGTATGTGAGTGTTATTAAGCCTTGCTAGTCCATTGCTATGCTATCTCTGGTAGTTGCTAAGATATTGCTAGGCCACTGCTATGCTATCCCAGTTGTTTGCTAAGCTATCTCAGGTAGTGCCTAAGGTGTTGCTAGGCTGTTGCTATGGTGTCCACAGCAGTTCCTAATAAATGAGTATATTGTGCCGGTTATATCCGAATTTTCTCAACATTTATTTCCTTTTTTTTTTTCCTTTGGGCGAAAAATAACAAGCATATGTTTCTCAGATGCCTAAAATGTTTGCACAGCACTCTTAAGTATATATATATATATATATATATATATATATATATATATATATATATATATATATATATATATATATTTATAGACCTGTCCAGGGTGTATCCTGCCTTTCGCCCAATGACAGCTGGGATAGGCTCCAGCACCCCACCGCAACCCAGAAGGATAAGCGGTTTAGATGATGGATGATGTTTAGATGATGGATGTATGTATATATATATATATATATATATATATATATGTGTGTATATGTGTGTGTTTTTACCTCTGGCCTCCGGGGGTTCGCCGTGTGGTAGAAGTAATCTTCGTGTACGGTGAGGAAAGGGTCAGTGGCAGGAAGCCCTCCCAGATGCAGTGTTTGGAAATTATTAATCTGATCAATCAGCCCTGCGGACACACACACGCACACACACACACGCACACACACACACGCACACACACACACACGCACACACGCACACACACATTTAACACAAACTGGAGACACACAACAACCTGTTTCAAAGCAAGAGAAATTACAACTCATTATAAAACCAATTCTAGACAGATTCCACAGTCAGGGTTCTATTCTATTAGACCTGCATTAGAGTAACAGGTACAATCTAGAACACTGCACTCTTATTCTAGTGCAGTTATAATAACATACTGCTATATAGTGCTGATCATGGCTGAATCTACTGTATGGGTGACCTGGGTAACTGCTCAGGGGCACCAAATGGTTGTTCCAAAAAAAAGAGTTTGGGCACCCCGGTCAAATGTTTTTGTTGATTAGTGTAAATAAGTGAACACATCCTCCACAGAGAACATACTTTAATGCACAATTGCGTTTTGCTGTATTTAACAAATTGGAAAAAAAATAAAACATAAAATGTGGCCTGTGCAAAAGTTATGGCACATTTTATATTTTATTTGTTTCCAATATGTAAAAAAAAGCAAATAAATAAAAACTGTGCACGAGTTTGTTTTTCTTCCTAATTTTATCCCCAATTTTAGTCGTATCCAATTCCAAACAGTAGTTAGGACTCCCCCATTCACACGATACCACCAGCACTAGGAGGGCGAAGGCCAGCACAGGCTTCCTCTGAGACCTGTGAAGTGCCACCACATCGGAGGAAAACACTAACCACCAGATCCGTTACGTCAGCTAACAGACGCCTGTGCTGGCTAGCATCACACTGGATGATGGGGGGGAGATGGGGGGGCCATCACACAGGACAACTGTGCATTTGACTGGGCATGTATGCATATACATAAAAGGAAAAAAGTTTGTTGGTATAAAGAGATAAACGCAGTAAATTATTACCTTTGGAGAGGAAGAAGTACCCGACCCAAACATCGGGGGCTACTACGGTCACACTCTCCACCGCCATCGCACTGCAAGACACAACACACTCACCATCACGCACCGCCGGATGAAGGGAACGCAGAGCGAAGTGAGATTTAACACTTTACCTGGGATTTATGTGGCCGATTTCTTTATCAAAATTTCTGCTGTTGATGACCTCAGATTTCCACTCAGTATCTAACAACACAGACAGCATTACAAGCATTTAGTTAACTGTGCAGTTTTTCCTGTGGGGTTAACAGAGTGACTGAGTAGCTTCAGTATCATAAACTACTTTTAGATCTTAAGTGAAGCGCTTCAGTTACAAACAGGTCGTTATCAAGAAGTAATAGTTGTAGTTTTTAAAGAAGAAATGTATCAGTATTTCTGATATTGTTAAATGTTGATAGTGTTAAAATGAAACTCACTGTATGTGTAGGTGGTCTCTGTTTTGGTTTCACCACCTTCTTTATACTCCCTGTGTATTGAGAGGAAGAGTAAAGTCAGATCAAGGCTGGGCAATACAGCCAAAATATACTTAAACACTTTCTCACGATGTACAATATGCATCACGATAATTCATTTTTTCATGAATAAGTTGGAACTGTGTTATTATCATCAATTATCAGCTTGAATGATCAAATCTAAACATTGGCCCAATGCCGATAACTTCTCTTATCGAAAAAAAATTGTTGATCCTGATATGCTTCCAAAGTCATCAGGCCCGCCTTGTCGTCGTTATTATTGTTGTTGTTATCTTTGAGCAAGAACACAGAGTCATTCATGTGACGTGCAACTCTAATGAAGTACAAAAAGCTACTTAAGTGCTAACAGCGCCCCCTTGTGGAGAATCTTCAGCCTGCTAAACATGAGAAAGCGGCAAGGCAAAGAAAACGTATTATTTCAGATTTTCCACTATTTTCCATCATCAACATTCCATATAAGCTCAGAAGACTCGTGCAGGTTCACTGGTGGTTCTGGATAGTAAATAAAATGTCTATATTTGTGTTGCAGTCATGGAGACCCCTGGTTCGTATGACCACCACTGTAAAGACATCTGAGTCCAGTAAGATTCTCTGGAACGGAGAATTTCACACTGTTTGTTTTGCTGGTGCATTTTGTTCATTCCAACTCATTCACAAACTTCAGTCAAACTAAACTGTGATACGTATTGTGTAACTGTACAGTTCGTGTACAGTGATGATCTCTTTACCCACCGTGAGTCCTGATACTCCACCCACTGATACATCTCCACGTTCCTCTTCAGCTTCACCGCCTGAACCGCCACCTTATAGTTCGGGTCATACAGAGGCTGAGAGAGAGAGGGAGAGAGAGGGAGAGAGAGAGAGAGAGAGAGAGAAAGAGAGAGAGAAAGAGAGAAAGAATGAGAGAGACAGAGAGAGAGAGAGAAAAAAGAGAGAAGACAGAGAGAGAGAGATATTATTACACTCTGTTCTGGTCGTGTGTATTTTTCCCTGTTATTAAATCGGACACTAACACAGTGAATAGTAATAACAGAAGCCCAGACAGTATTACAGCTCACAGCGCTGTGTTACCTGAGAGGTGCGCAGTGGGGCCGACAGGTGAATGAGCCGATTGTTGTTTTGGGGGTCCACGTACATGTCAGGATGCAGAGTGAGGACCTGAGAGAGACCCTCGTCCAGAGACGCTGCTGTACGGATGGCCCTGCCCTGCAGGAGGAGGAGCTTTAAAACAACAGTTTGGCCAAAAAAGCTAATTTACACGATCCCCCCGCGCCCCCCCCCACCCCGTAGTCCCTCAAATATAGACGATCAGCCAAGGCATGCTTGGCGTCTGAAATCAGCTTCTTTAGTTTTAGCGCTCGAGCTATGAGGCTAATGTGGCTAACAAGTAATGAAAGCTTACACCCCACCAATTAGCATCCTGCCTAAATCATCACACACTCAGCTAAAACTGCGTTGAGTTGTTAAGTAATCTTATAGAACTCTCTCAGGCTGTATGAACACATAAGCAACTCGGGATATTAAATTATTAAAACATAAAAATCAGCATTTCACTGAATTGGTGGTGTGTAGCGAAATGAAAAACACCAGGTTTGTTGGTTTTCTTAGTGAAAATAAGTCACGTCCTCCACTTAATACGGCATTTTCTACACACTTTATATTCATTTACCAAAGTTTAACAGTGGAAGAAATGAAACATAAAATATTAAAGGTGCCATAAATTTTGCACATTGGTTTCGTCCTGTTGCTGGGAGATTGAATCTGGTCGATGCTATGACCAAATAAAAAAAATATAATATAACAGGGGTCGGCAACATGCGGCTCTTTTCCTGTCCTGTTCTGTCTCCACAGCTGAATCTGATTTGTAGGTAAAAATAAAATAATCCTCCTTTACAGTAAAATAAAGCTCTGCTGATCGTTCAACACAGTTTAACAATAAATGGTCTTAAACTCTGGAGTTCATGTAGAACTGCTGATTCACCCTTTAACCCTGAAGATCAGCGCAGACTGCTGGTCACCATAGCAACAAAGACAACAGTCTCGCCTAGCTAGTAGCTAACAAAACGGCAAAGAGAGAGATTTAAGATGAACATCGATAATTTGGAGATGAATGGACTTATCTGTGTTTATAATCACTCCAGCTGGTTTCCTGATACGTTTAATCTGCAACGAGAAACTGAAACACTAAAAAGTCGCGAGGCTGAAGTCAGTTTCTCATTCTCCAGCTTCTTGTTTGAATTTTCCTGTTCCACCTTAAATGGTGCAGCAGTTACATTCTGGCGCCTCAGGCACCATTTAAGGTGGAACGGGAAAATTCTAACAAGAAGCTGGAGAATGAGAAGCGACTTCAGCCTCGTAAAAAGTTGAATGTTAAGAAACATTTTACAAAAAAAATGTTCTACTTTTGAGGAAAGTTTCCTGCTGGAGATGCGAGAAAAGCAGCTACAGCTGAGCTAAAGCTTAAAGCAGAGCAAAGCGAGTCTGTGTTTTCGTTTATATTATTTTTTAGTCTATATTAGCACATCAGCACATACTGAGACACATTTACAGCCAAGATTGTACAATGGACATAAATGTTGTGGCTCCCAGTGTGGTTTGATTTTTGTTGAAAGGACAAAACGGCTCTTCTTAACATTTGGGTTGCGACCCCTGTTATATATATGATTATTATAATAGAAAATAATGATTATAACATGATAAAATATTTTTGCCAGTACCAATAAAACCGTGATGATACATGAGTGGGGCAAAGGACCAGATTGAGAAACTAGTGACATATATGAAATGAAGGGGGATCTGACCTCATTAGTGAAGAGTACGTAGAAGGACACAAAGAACAGCACCACTCCCACCATCATCCCCCCCATCGTTTCCCCCAGACGCTCCAGAAAACCTGGGTTGGGTCGGCTGTGTACGCGGGAGTGCTGGTCCCGGCCCTCCGTCCCTGAGAACTAACACAAACACAAACAACAAACAACACCACAGCCTTTAGACACTGGCCCTTTAATAGAATCATCATCAGCAGAGCCACACTGGTGGTGAGCTGACAGCAGATCCCTGTAGTTTCCTCAAAAGTCCAAAAAAAACAATCTTTCGTTCATCCAATGTGTCATTTTTTAAAATATAGGCGATATAGTGTAGGTACAGACGTAGGTGGTGTAACTAAAGATGTTATAAATATAGAAAGGATTAATAAAAAAACAAGATTTCTCTCAGTTTTTGAAACAAGAGTTTGATGTTGTATGTAAACATTATTAAAGTTTCAAAACATGCCATCACATACAGTCTACATGTGAAACTAAGCTGCAAAAACAGCTGGTGTTGAACTGATTGCTTTTCTGATGTCACAAAAAATAACACATTTACATATATCTGCTTATCCAGCTTACAGCAGTTTAGCTCCGCCCACTCACATGTACATAGTTATAAACAATTTAAGCATGCAAATGTTTCTATATAGAACTCATGGTTCTAAACAGAACCATTGCCTTTACTAAAGAACCCTTGAACAACCATCTTATTCAAGAGTGCATAAAAAACTACCACTTAGTTGTTCTAATCCACAGTTCATAATAAGTCATAGAATCTGAAGGTAGAGAACAGAGTGCATTAACACTGCAGTCAGTAAAGGGGAACTCCACCTATTCTTAAAAAATTCTGCATAACTCAGTGTGTGAGATGTAAACAGAGCGATCCAGAGTGGTTTGGTGTAAGATGGTTCAGATGTCTTCACAGTGGCAGTGACAGGAACTTAGGGGTCGCCATGACTACAACACAGATATAGACATTTTGTTTACTATCCAAAACTGATATAAGTTTTCTTTGGGGACTATTTTGCCTCACAACACCCTGCATATTATGTATCCCTCCACCATGAATGGGTTTTAAGGCCAAAATCTTCTCAAACTAATGGTAAAACAGTGTCTCAGTCATCAGGCAGTGAATTCATAACCATTTCATGTAGGAACTTTCTGTGAGGGAGCTTTTAGAGGTGGACGTCTGGTTCCTATCACCACCACTGTGAACAGTTCTGACTCTGTAAGTTTCTCTAGAACGGAGCGTTTCACACCAAACCACTCTGAACGACTCTGTTTACATTTCAACCACTTAATTATAGGGAAAGTTTGAAAAATCGGTGGACTTCCCCTTTAGTACTACACAACTCTATGCTGCATTATAGCAGCTGCTACTGCAGTCAAAGCCAGTGCATTACACAGACGCATAGCAGCAGATACCGAGCGCGCTTCCAGATACAGGAATTAAGAGAAATGGTGCAAGACAACAGCAAAATCGGACTTACTGCCACCGACATGGTTAGATTTGGAACACACCCAGAAAGAACGGAAGTCTGCTCGAGGGAGAGAAAACTTCAAACGCGCCAAATCAACTCGCTCGCGCACTTCCTGATCACTTCAGAAATGTAATCAGTACAAAATAAATACAGTCCTTTCCTAATAATTCACGAAAGCGCAGCTATTAAAAGGTGATATCCGTGTTAGTGGAAGAAACTCGAGCAGTTCCAGCTCACTTTCGACGCGTTGAATGAACGACATACGTTTGGCTCGCGCTGGGCATGCTGGGAAATGTAGTCGCGCCGCATACCGTATACACCGACCAACCATAACACTAAAAAAACCCTTGCTTCCACATTCACTGTCCACTTTATCAGCTCCACTGACCATATAGTCTCACTCTGTAGTTCTACAGTTACAGACTGTAGTCCATCTGTTTCTCTGATACTTTGTTACCCTGTTCTTCAGTGGTCAGGACCCCCATGGACCCCCACAGAGCAGGAACTATTTGGGTAGTGGATCATTCTCAGCACTGCAGTAACACTGACGTGGTGGTGGTGTGTTAGTGTGTGTTGTGCTGGTGCGAGTGGATCAGACACAGCAGTGCTGCTGGAGTTTTTAAACACTGTCCACTCACTGTCCACTCTATTAGACACTCCTACCTTGTCGGTCCACCCTGTAGATGTAAAGTCAGAGACGATAGCTCATCTGCTGCTGCGCAGTTTGTGTCGGTCATCCTCTAGTCCTTCATCAGTGGTCACAGGATGCTGCCCACAGGACGCTGTTGGCTGGTTATTTTTGGTTTTCAGTCCAGCAGCGACACTGAGGTGTTTACAAACTCCTGCTGTGTCTGATCCACTCGCACCAGCGCAACACACACTAACACACCACCACCACGTCAGTGACCCTGAACTCGGGCCTGCAGGCTGTTTTTATTAAAGCCTCTGATATCACCACTGTGCTCAAAGCACATCAGCTCTCTGAGAGCTTCAGGCTGACTGAGAGGATTACGTCTTAAAGGGATCACACAATATCTATCTGGAGAAGATGACGGGCGTATGTGCACGTACACGCTCTCACACCTGAACCGCACTGACCAGGCTGACCACACTGACCAGGCTGAGTCTCTGAGTTTAGCCATCAGAGAGCCGGAGCAGGCTTCTAGTCAGCATGGCAGAGTTTGATGTTGTTGTGCTGGGCACTGGGCTTAAGGTAAGATTTCTATTATTATCTCCTCTGTATGTTCAGCCTTACTGACCTGCACAAAGGCTCTATTATGATGACCATGCACGCCTTTAAAGGATGGTTAATAATCAGAATGGAAGAAAAATAAACATATGTAACTTCCCGGTCAGATAAAAACTTTCTAGTAGTTTTTCTTTTTTTTTACACAATTTAAAAACACAAGGTTCTATGAACATTTCATGATGAACAGCCTAATACAGAAAACTCATTATATTAATGTACATACAAAGTTAAGAACCTTCTTCAAAATAACTGCTTCAAAATACCATTTCATATGTGTGTATATATATATATATTATTATATATATATATATATATATATATATATATATATAGCTTCCGTCTGAAAAAATCTCCATTTCTCCATATCTCCATTTTTGTCATTTTCAGTTTTTGGCATATTTGAAAACGCGATTTAGGGCCTTTACATTGTGTATAGATTTCATGGCGAATGGAACAAAAGACACTTGACTTGGCCAAAATGACTTGGAAAAAATTCTGGTGGTTCCACTGACTTACATTAAAAGTAAAGTGGGATTTTTTCTTCTCCTGTAAAGTTACCATTTTGGAGATACAAGGTTTTGTTCAGACAACAGTGATACAGGAGATAAGAGCTTTTTAAGTAATTCTTTTTTCTTTCTTTAAGAGGTCAAGATTTGAAAATTTAAACATTCACATACATGCCAAAATGCTGAATATATATATTGCTGTTGTTGAAACAAAAGTTTGTATCTCCAAAATGATAAATTTACAGAGAAGCAAAAAACATACTTCACTTTTAATGTAGGTCAATGCAACCAGACTTTTTTCCAAGTAATTTTGGGTAATTTCTTTTGGTCCACTTATCATGAAATTTGCACACATTGTGAAGAGAAACAGGCATTTCATATATTTATATATATTTATGTCTGTATATTTCAAAGTTATATACACTCTTATTTTGAAAAAATGCATGTAATGCATGAAAACATAAATCATATTTATGGGTTTTACACAGATTTATTTGTCTTGATTATTATTATAATTATAATTAAAGTCAAAGTTGAAAGCTTCCCTTCTATTAAATCATCTGGTTTATAGTTTATTTTACATTTCCTGAGTCTGTTAAAAGTCCTGATGTTCATTCATAATAAAAACATCCAACGCTAAATTCAGTCTATCTTGGATTATTTTCTTATAGGCTAAAGCGAGTGTGTCTCTGTGTGGGGGGTAAAGTGACCCATCTTATTAAAACTGACACAGACTGTAATGAAGCAGTGAGCTGAGCTGTTATAGACCCCTCAGCCGTCTGTAGAGGGGATTAACTCTAATCCTCCTCACTCACACTGCAGGCGCAGCGACTGAAGCTGTATGATATACATATATACTGAAATACATTTTCAGAACTACAACATGGTAAACAGTGCAGTACTCAAACTCACCATTCTTTCATTCTTTATTTAATCAGACTAACTTTAATATAAATAAACTGTTATAAAACTGATTATAAAAAGCTAAAAATTCTGATAATATAACTTAATATGGTCATACATTAAACAGAATCCAGTAATTTTAGTTAAACAGTATTTTACTGACTTATTTCACTGTCAGTTTTCAATTGACACATTTCTGAAATTTTGATAAATAACCTAAACTCAAAGACTTAAATGACAGCATTGCAGCACTACATGGTTCTCTGCACAATGAAATGGTTCTTCAGATTGATGGAGAACGTGTTGTATATGGTTCTAATAGCACCTTTACAAAAATGGTTCTATATAGCACCAAAAACATTTATTCTTTTGTTACAAGCTTGACATCGTAACAATAGAAGAACGCTTTTTAGTGCTATATAGAACCATATGCAACACATTCTCCATCAATCTGAAGAACCATTTCACCTTTCAAAAAACCATTAAAGCATATAAATGGTTCTTTGAGTGTTCGCGGCTCAATATAGAACTATTTTCCTTTACTAAAAAACCCTTAAAGAACCATCTTTTTTTAATAGTGTAGCACCAAAACGGGTTCTTCTGTTATTGTTACAAGCTTGACATCGTTATCAATAGCAGAATCCTTTTTGGTGCCATATAGAACCATTTTCAAAAAAATACGACACATCCTCTATCAACCTGAAGAACCACTTCATCCTGCAAAGAACCATTCATGCATAAAATGGTTCTGTATATCACCAAAATGGGTTCTTCTATTGGTACGATATCAGGCATGTAACACTAGTAGAACCTTTTTTGGTGCTATATAGAACCATTTTCAAAAAGGTTCTATGTAGAACCATATACAACACATTCTGCATCAGTCTGAAGAACCATGTCACCATGCAAAGAACCCTTTAAGCATGCAGTGGTTCTATATAGAACTGATCTCAGCAAACTCACAACGTTTTCTACTTTCTTACAACGTTGCTACAATGTTGTCAAAAGGTGGTGCTGTTTATGTTGTCTGAACAACGTTGTCACAACGTTGTCACAACCTCATTATTCAGTAACGTTGCCGTATAGTATTATGGCTACCTGTTGGCAACTTAGCAAAATTCCATTGAGTTCTAACTGTGTGTGCAGGGATGGTTCTAAACAGAACCATTCCCTTTACTTAAGAACCCTTGAGGAACCATCTTTTGTAAGAGTGTAGTCGACACTTGGAGATGTTAATGAAGGATCAGAGTGTTTAGTGTCATTTTGGTGTTGAATTGTGATTCTGCGCTTGATCTCAGAGTGAAAGTCAGAATTCCTTCACTGTCGGCCTCCGCAGGAATGCATCCTCTCCGGCCTGCTGTCCATCTGTGGGAAGAAAGTTCTTCACATTGATCAGAACCCACACTATGGAGGAGAGGGCGCCTCCATATCACCTCTGGAAGAGGTCTGCACACTCACTCACACATGTTTGTTTCTGTGAATTGTGGGGACATTATACAGACTTCCATTTATTTCCTGTAGACTTACCTTAACCAGAACTACCACTACCCTAACCCTAACCTTAACCCTGACCTTAACCTTACACTAACTCTAAAATGTACGTAGTGGGGACTAGCTTGGGGTCGTCACAATGAAGAAAAGTCCCCACAGAGTGAGTGTATAAACACATTTTGGTCCCCGTGTGTGTACCAGGTTTATGCCACATTATGGGGACCAAAACTTATTATACACTCACATTATGGGGAACAGCTTGTGGTTCCCACAAGAAAGAAAGGTCCCAACATGCTGAATGTATAAACAAGTTTTGGTCCTCACAATGTGTGTGTGTATCACGTATATGCCACATTGTGGGGACCAAATCTTGTTTGTACATTGTGGGGACCAGCTTGTGGTCCCCACAAGAAAGAAAGGTCTCAACAACGTGAGTGTATAAACATGTTTTAGTTCCCACAATGAATTTGTCTACTAGGTTTATACCACATTGTGGGGACTAAAATTTTTTATACATTCACCTTTTGGGGACCATCCCACAACATGAGGCTATAAACAAGTTTTGGTCCTCACAATGTGTGTGTGTATCACATATATGCCACATTGTGGGGACAAAATCTTTTTTGTACACCTACGTTGTGGGGACCAGCTTGTGGTCCCCACAAGGAAGGTCCCCACAACATGAGTGTATAAATAAGTTTTGGTCCCCACAATGTGTGTGTGTACCAGGTTTGTGCCACATATGGGAACCAAAACTTGTTTATACACTCATGTTGTGGGGACCAGCTTTTTGAGTGTATAAGTGAGTGTATAAACACGTTTTGGTCACAACAAAGTGGCATGAACCTGGTACACACACACTCACTAGTGATACTTTGGTGAAAAGTCAGATTCTCCTCCTTTTACCTATAATATAGTTGATCAGAGTCATGTGTAGCTTCTTTAGTTTTTGCATTGGAGATATGAGGCTAATGTAGCTAACAAGTAATGGAAGCTTATACTCCACAAATTAGCTTGGTGCTAACTGCAGGCCTAAATCATCACATATTCACCTCAAAGTGTGTGAAGTTGTTCAGTATCTCTAATAAACTTGATTATGTGGTTTCTGACACTGTATGACTCACTGTTATCTATAAACATGGACTAAAGTATGGACATAATTGAGTGTGTCAGTGTGTTTGTTTTCAGTCATGTTTCTTTGTTGAACAGCTCTATAAGAGGTTCCAGGTTCCAGGGCCTCCCAAAGGAATGGGGCAGGGCAAAGAATGGACCGTCGATCTCATCCCTAAATTTCTGCTGTCCAATGGTAAGCAGCCACTGTGCTGTTAATGTTTCCAGCAGTTTTTTGGCCCTTATATTCCAGCGTGCCTCCCCAGGCTCCGCCCACTAAGGTGTTGTTTTGCAGGTATTGTTGTAACTTTGGACAAGCTTTACAGAATGCTGGTAAAAATCCCATCAAACTTAATGAGAAACTGTAGAACAGATTCAGTTTATATGACAATACATAAATTTAGAGTTGGTTATTCATTCAGCCTAATGAGAAACTGTAGAACAGACTCAGTTTATATCACAATACCTACATTTAGAGTCGGTTATTCATTCAGCCTAATGAGAAACTGTAGAACAGACTCAGTTTATATCACAATACCTACATTTAGAGTGAGCTAGCTATGAAAGAGCACATTTGTGGGCGGAGCCTGGCTAGGACAGTTTATGGGTAGCCTAGTGACTCACCTCGTCCTGCTGTTATATGTTACAGGGCAGTTGGTGAAGATGCTGCTGTATACGGAGGTGACGCGCTACTTGGATTTTAAAGTGGTGGAGGGCAGTTATGTGTACCAAGCTGGAAAAATCCACAAAGTCCCCGTCACTGAGGCAGACACACAAGCTTCAGGTAACCTTCACCTGTGGAGTATATTTTTTATTACTTAATTCTATTGGAAAATAACAAACAGGCCTAAAATAAACTGCATTAGCAGTGCAGACATGACCTGACAGCTGTAACAAAAGAGGAATCCCATAGAATTTTTCTAAATATCTGCATAATCTAATCACTGAGGTGTAACAGAGAGATTCAGAGTGGTTTGGTGTGAAATGGTTCAGATGTCTTTACAGTGGTGGTGATAGGAACCAGGGCTCGCCATGACTACAGCAGAGATATAGATATTTTATTCACTTTCGTAAACAAAACTATCATAAAACAGTGTCTCAGTCATCAGCCAGTGAATTCATAACCATTTCATGTAGTAACTTTCTGTAAGGGAGTTTTAGAGGTGGACGTCTGGTTCCTATCACCACCACTGTGAACAGTTCTGACTCAGTAAGTTTATCTAGAACGGAGCGTTTCACACCAAACCACTCTGAACGACTCTGTTTACATCTTAACCAGTTAATTATGCAGAAATCTTTGAATTCAAGTAATGGATGCATTCCTCTTCAAGGGTTTAGTTTCAGATGACTACTAGCTCATATAAAAATATGGAAAAAATTACAAAAAAGTTGCATAAAAGTAAAAGCAAACAAGTCTGACTGTGACTTTGCCATTTCATCATGTTTTCAATTGCAAATCAGTTTTAAATAAGCCAAAAAATCTCTATTATAATTTTTTAATTAGATTAGATTTACAAGAATGGACTTTACAGTGGTTAACAGGCAGCTGCCCGTAAAAGCCACATACAGACTGTACTGATGTTCAGTAACCTACACTGTTAGAAATAAAGGTTCTGTGCAGGTACATTTCTCATTCATTAAGGTACAAACAATGTAAAGGTACAACAGTGGTTTTAAGGTCCAGCTGTGCACTCTAAATAAGTTTTTCCAGGTGAAAAGTTCGTTTTTGTACCTTTTCATAACTGAATGTTTTAAACAGAACAGTTAAATAAAAGCCTGGAGACGAGACGGGGTGTGTGGAGTCAGTACAGCTTAGAACATATTATTTCAGTGGATTATGGAACAGTTATGTTCCCTGACCAAAGGTACTGAGATGGCCCTTTGAGGATCCCACCCCAGTGACAAGAGGGGTAGTATACCAAACTGGCAGTCATGTTGATTTTTTTCAGCATGGTCAGTGCTAGTGCTGCCATCTGCTGCTCTGCTGATGCACAAACAAATAATAAGAGTTCTTGTAAGTAGGCTAAGCATTGTGTGCATTAGTTGGTGGGCATGGAGGGGTGGTCTTTGGCTCATTAAGTCTGCCCCTGTTGTCCTGTTTTTGCAGATTTGATGGGTATGTTTGATAAGCGGCGTTTCCGGAAGCTTCTGCTGTTCGTTCTGAACTTGGACGAGCACGACCCGCGGACCTTCCTGGACATGGACCCCAACAGAACGACCATGAGGGACGTGTTCAGGCACTTCGACCTGGGAACGGATGCAGTGGAGTTTACAGGGGCACGCACTGGCCCTGCAGAGCGGTGACGAGTTAGTATACACACCACATGTCCAGCATATATTACACTCACTGAGCACTGTATACCATTATGTAATTCTGGGTAGGGCTCCCCTTTGCTCTCAAAACAGCCTGAGCTCTTCGTGCCATGGATTCCCAAGATGTTGGAAACATTCCTTTGAGATTCTGGTCCATGTTGACATGATTGCATCATGCAATTCCTGCAGATTTTTTCATGCTGTGAATCTCCCATTCTACCACATCCCAAAGGTGTTCTATTGGATTCAGATCTGGTGACTGGGAAGGCCACTGAAGAACACTGAACCCATTGTCCTGTTCAGGAAACCAGTTTGAGCTACTTTTGCTTTGTGACAGTGCATTATCGTGCTGGAATTGGCCAATAGAAGATGGTAAATTGTGGCCATGAAGGGATTCACATGGTCAGCAACAATACTCAAATAGGCTGTTCCTTTCAAGCAGTGATTGACTGGTATTAAAGGGTCCAAAGTGTGCCAAGAAAACATTCCCCACACCATTACACCACCTTCACCAGCCTGGACTGTTGACACAAGGCAGGTCCATGGATTCATGCTGTTGGCACTAAATTTTGACCCTACCATCTGTGAGCCTCAGCAGAAATCGAGATTCATTAGACCAGGCTACATTTTTCCATCTTCAACTGTCCAGTTTTGGTGAGCCTGTTTCCACTGCAGCCTCAGCTTACTGTTCTTGGCTGAAAGAAGTGGAACCTGACGTGGTCCTCTGCTGTTGTAGCCCATCCACCTCAAGGTTTGGCATGTTGTGCTGCCTGAGATGGTGTTCTGCTCAGCACAATTGTACAGAGTGGTTATCTGAGTTACTGTAGCCTTTCTGTCAGCTTGAACCAGTCTGGCCATTCTCCACTGACCTCTCTCATCAAAAAGACATTTCTGTCCGAAGAACTGCTGCTCACTGGTTTTTGAAAAACTCAAACCAGCCTGTCTGGTATCAACAATCATGGCACAGTCTAAATCATTGAGATCACATTTTGTCCCCATTCTGATTGTTGATGTGAACATTACCTGAAGCTGCTGCCCGTATCTGTATGTTTTAACACACTGCACTGCTGCAACATGATTGGCTAATTAGATAATTGCATGAATGACTAGGTGTACAGATGTTCTTAATAATGTGCTCAGCAAGTATATATATCGCTGCTGTCTGAACAAAACCTTGTATCTCCAAAATCTTAACTTTACAGGAGAAGGAAAAAACATACTCTATTTTTAATGTAAGTCAATGGAACCAGACCTTTTTCCAAGTCATTTTGGGTCATTTCTTTTAGTTCATTCATCATAAAATTAACATACAATGTAAAGGGTAACAGGTATTTTCAAATTATGTCAAGTCAACACACACACACACGCGCACATATATATATATATATATATATATATATATATATATATATATATATATATATATATATATATATATATATATATCACTGTTGTCAGAAGAAAACGTTGTATTTCCATTTTTGTCATTTTTTAGTTTTTGCGATAATTTGAAAATGTTGCCTTTTACATTGTGTGTAAATGTCATGATGAATAGACCAAAAGAAATGGCCAAGAATTACTTGGGAAAAATTCTGGTTCCATTGACTTACATTATAAGTAAAGTATGTTTTTCCCTTCTCATGTAAAGTTATAATTTTGGATACAAGGTTTTGTTCAGACAGCAGCGAAATGTAGTATACTAGTATGCATATGCAATAAGAGTTTTCTTAGCTGAATATATATGGCAGTAATCTCTCTGTGTTTCTCTGTAGTTATCTGGACCAGCCGTGCCTGCAGACCATAAAGCGGATAAAACTGTACTCAGACTCTTTGGCCCGTTATGACCACAGTCCATACCTCTATCCCCTCTATGGCCTGGGGGAGCTACCACAGGGCTTCGCCAGGTAGAGCATCAATTATTCTTTATTTAAAGGGCCCTCATCATGGAAATAATGGAGTTTTTCTCACTTTATTGAAATAACAGTTTTATGTAGTATATAAAACGATTAAAATGTAAAAACTACAATAACAGCCAGTCTGTTAGCAACAGAATGTGTAGGCTAATAATTCATACAATAATATACAGTGCTGACAAAAGACATTTAATTTCCAGTCAAAACAGCCATTAAGTTTAAATTTTTCAGGAATTATTTCTGAGTTATAGATAATTCACTTGCATAAAGACAAAGTCAAAGCAAAACAAGCAAAACAAGTTTATTAACTGATTAAAAGCTACAGAGAAAATGGGACTCCAAACAACCAACTGGAAGACCTGGTCGACCCCAAAACTGCCCCCATCAGATAAACAGCACTTAAAGCTTTCATCTTTGAGAGAGAGGAGAAAATCAAGCTGCTTCAGATCTGAAAACATCCACAGGTGTTTCTGTCCATCCTTCCACTGTGAGAAGACGACTCAGCGCTGTGGATCTGAAAGGATGTGTAGCTGTCAAGAAGAACCTCACTGAGAAAAGGAGACGGACACATCAAACAAAGCTGAACGATGGACTGACCACCCCAGAGTCCAGACCTCAACACCACTGAATGTGTTTGATTACTTCAGAAAATCATCAACCAGCTTCTCAGACGGAACTTTGGAGGTGTGTCTGCAGATTCTTTGAGGAACTGAAAGTGAGGCTCCTGAAAAGAATGGAAGCTGGAATAAAGGGACAGAGTGACACATTGAACACTGAACACTCAGACAGCTGAGAGTAGACTTATCTGTTGAGGCTTCTGGGTCACATATATTAAATGCGTATTTTCTGATTTTTCCCTGAAAAATAATAATAATAACTTGTAAATGGCTGTTTTGACTGGAAATGAAAGTAGTAAATGATTACAGGTTACTGTATTTTTTAAAAAGGGTCAGTTCTCAGACCTTCTGTTTCACCGTCAGTGACAGCCCACTTTAAAAGGTCAGTGGAGGCCATTTAACTGCAGTGTCTGTGTTTCTGCTGCAGGTTGAGCTCTCAGAATGGATGTAAATACTTGCAGAACCGAAAGGTGGACGACATCATCATAGAGAGCGGCAGAGTGGTGGGGGTGAAGTCTCACGGAGAGGTGAGGTGTGATTGTGGTGATGTTCACTGTTGACACTGTTCGATTGGCATTTGTCCTGATTGATTGTGTGCAGGTGTTCCGCTGTAAGCAGCTGCTGTGTGACCCCAGCTACTCTCCGGGCCGGGTCAGGAAAGTGGGGCGGGTCATCAGGGTCATCTGCCTTCTGAACCATCCAATCAGAAACACTCATGATGCCAAATCCTGCCAGATCATCATCCCACATACACAGGTCCACCGGAAATCAGGTACGAGGAGGAATTTCATTCAGAATGGATAACATCTTAAATATTATATATATTATATTATATACATTACATTTCAATTTCTTATTCTCATCACTACAGAGCCTACTTTTATAGATACTCGATAATTCATAGTAGATACTGAATAATTCATAGCACATACTGGATAATGCATAGCAGAAACCAAATAACATAGCAGAAACTGAATAATTTATAGTAAATCATGAATAATTGATAGTAAATGATGAATAGTTCATAATAGATTATTAATAATTCATAGCAGCTACTGGAAAATTCATAGTAGACACTGAATAACTCATAGCAGAGACTGAATAATTCGTAAAAGATATTGAATAATTTGTGGCAGATACTGAATAATTAATAGCGGTTACTGAATAATTTGTAGTAGATACTAAATACTTCCTAGCAGTTACTAGATAATTCACAAAACCCACTGAATAAATCATAATAGATGCTGAATAATTTGTAGCAGACACTGAATAATTCAGAGAAGTTGCTGAGTAGTTTGTCATAGTTACTGAATAATTCATAACATTTTTACCAAATTATGCATTTAGTAATAGTTTACTGCTCATAAATATATTTTTGTGATATTCGTTTTCGTATGACTTCACCTGTAACTTATCAGTTGCATTACAAGGCATTCTGGGATCCACATCACAGGAAAAAAGAAGCTGTTCTTTGTTGCCTCTGTTGAAGGGGTTCTGCATGTTCCCACCCTAATCTGTATTATTATGAAAATTATATCATACTGTATTCTTTTTATCCTCCATTTTCCAGATATCTATGTGTGTATGGTCTCCTATGGTCATAACGTAGCTCCAGAAGGGAAGTACATCGCTGTGGTCAGTACAAATGTGGAGACCAGTAACCCAGAGAAAGAAGTGCAGCCAGGCCTGGCTCTGCTGGAGCCCATCATGCAGAAGTAAAGCCAAATAATAAACTTTTTATACTGTATAAGATGCAATGTGATAATGAATCTAGTGATTAAGGAGATCATGTGACGCGGCATCAAATGCAGAAACTGTTTCATTAAAAATGTGAATTTATTCTCTGTGTAGGATCACAGAACTGTGCAGTCTAGTGATTCATCTCTTGATTCAGTACATCTCCTCATTATGATCAATTAGGGATTATTATAACTGAAACTGCATCACCGTTCTGCAGGTTTATCTCCATTACTGACCTGATGGTGCCCACAGATGATGGAAGGCGGAGTCAGGTATTTTTCTGAGTGTCACTCTAAAACACTGTCCGATATAACGTTGCTTGTATCTTCAACAGGAAAAAATGTTCTTAATGTAAGTTAATGTGAAAAGATTTCATTCCAAGTAAGTTTGTACCATTTCTGATGGTCCATTCTTTGCTTTTTTGACAGAATGTGAAGATCAGTTGGTTATTTTCGAATTTTGTACTAAAAATTTGACTTAAAAATGAAAAAATCTCATTATTATGTATTTAAAGAATCAACGTAGTAGATACTAAATAATTCATAGCAGATACTAAATAATTCATAGTAGAGACTGAATAATTCAAAGTAGATACTAAATAATTCATAGTAGAGACTGAATAATTCAAAGTAGATACTAAATAATTCATAGCAGATACTAAATAATTCAAAGAAGCCACTGAATAAATCATAATAGATAATAATTTATAGTAGACACTGAATAATTCTGAGATGTTGCTGAATAGTTAGTCATAGTTACTGAATAATTTATAGCAGTTACTAATTTATAACATTTTTTTATCAAATTATGCATTTTGACTTAAAAATGAAAAAATCTCATTATTATGTATTTAAAGAATCAACAAAAATGGAGAGGTTTTCTTTCGACAGCGATGATAAGCACTTTATGCAGCTTTAAAGCTACACTGTGTAGGATCTGGGGATTTGGAGACCTCTCTGGTGGAAATGTGTAACTGCACACAGCGTACAGGAGGACAGTCTGTAGCACGGGTTGTACTTCGGCCCCCTTCCCCGAATGGATGAATCTGATAATTGAAAGAGAATTTGAAGCGAACTCAGTCTAAACTTGGTGAAGGAGCGTCTCTGAGGATGTGAGTGAATTATCTACTATTGTCATCACATCTTCATCAGTATGATGTTGATTCTGAGATTATTTTTGAGCCTTTGCATGTGACATTAAAACGTAAAGACGTACGACGTGGTGTGAAAACTCCCAACCTGAAGCCTTTGACTTTTAAATGATTATTTCAGGCTTTATGGGGCGACTCAAAGCAGCCGCACCATATTTTAGCCTGTTTATATTCTCCTCACTCAGTAACGACACTTCTTTCACTTTTAACAACTAAATCTTACATAGTGCAGCTTTGAAAGAACAATTCAATGAAAAATCTAATTTACATAGCCCCCCCCTTCACAAGTAGACAACCCAAGTCCTGTTTGGTGTCTAAAGTTTCCTTCTTTAGTTTTACATTGGAGCCACGAGGCTAATGTTAACCAACATTGCAATGGAAGCATATACCCCTATGAGTTAGCATAATGCTAAATGCAAAAATGCATGTCAAACATGGACTAAAGTACAGACAAATTTCAGACTTCAGGATGGCTGCTACTGTTTGTAGCTATGCTAATGTACTTTAGTCCATGTTTATAGATAACAGTGAGTCATACAGTGTCAGAAACCACATCATCAAGACTATTAGAGACACTGAACATCTCCACACGCTTTTAGATGAATGTGTGATGACTTATGCATGTAGTTAGCACCATGCTAACGGTAGTTAGCGCAGGCCTCCACTACTTGTTAGCTAGCCTCGTAACTCCAGTACAATACTAAAGAAGCAAACTGACACAAACATTCTCAGCGACTCAGCGATGACATCCTACCTGTTGAACTGAATCAGGTTGTTAAAGTGGAGAAAACAGTGCTGTTACATTGGAGATGCCAGCATGTAAAGTTTTGCTTTGCCTCCTCTCGGTTTAGATCTTCGTGTCTCGTTCGTACGACGCCACCACGCACTCTGAGACGGAGTGTGAGGACATTAAGGACCTGTTTCGTCGCATGACGGGGGCAGAGTTCAGCTTCGAGGATTTCCAGAGAGACAGCGAGGCCGACGCTGATGATTAAACACGTTCACAAACAGCTACATCGTCCAAAGGCAACCGATTCACCTCATTCACACCCTGGCCATTTTTCTTATTACGTGATGGAGAGAAACGGGAATCGGGTGATTAATAACTCAACAGCCAGAGCAAAGAAATTGATGTATATCGTGAATTTTAAAAGCACTGAAAATGGGGATGGGGTCTGCAAAGATACCTCAAAGGACACAAAATAGGATGCAGCAGCTGAGTGTTAGCTAGAAGCTGGGAAGCGACTTCCCACCTCCAAGTCAGTTTGAGTGAGCTAGAAGCCAAGACCCTGCACACTTAGCTAAAAGCTAATGCTGCGTCAAGTGCAGAATTTCCCACCTCTAACTTAACTAGGAATTCCTACTCCTACTACTAAGTCTGGATTGTGTTCTCAACTCCAAACTTAGTATGTTGCATCAAATCAACACAGCTGCTTACACCATCAACAGTAATAAAGAACCGGTTCTTGTATGAGATTTGCTTTAGATCAGTCAACATATGGACACAGTAGCTGGCTAAACTATAACACTGACCATAAAGTTTTGAGATAGTAAATATCATGAACGTTGTAGCCATAGATATACATACCTAGATGCTGCGCTGGGTCCAGCCAGGCACGTCAATGGTGCCACCATTTTAGGGTGGTCAACATCACTGCTGGACTGCATTCAGTACCATTACAGAGCAGCAGTTTAAGAAAGATACTGTCCAAAATTACACAATTTCAAGAATATTGAGCTCAGAAAGTGGGATAGGATTATATAACGGAGGGAACGCAGTGATCCACACTCGTGTCTGTGTGATGTTTATGTGTGGATATGGCCGTGTGGTTGGTGAAGCACAGAGAACCTGTTGATGTGATCGTTTTTCCTCTGGTTCTCTGGTTGTTTTTCCACCTTCTTACATGAAGCTGAAGTCAGCTTCTTATTTGCCGGCTTCTTATTCGAATTTTCCTGTTCCATCTTAAATGGTGCAGCTTCAGGCACCAGAAACTGCTGCACCATTTAAGGTGGAACAGGAAAATTCCAACATAAAGCTGGCAAATAGGAAGCCAACATTTGCTTCATCCTTCTTACTGTGTTTTGAGGGTTTCTTTTACTTTTATGTGTATTAAGATTAGAAGTGATTCACACATTGATGGATTTGCTGATGTGTCTGATTGTGTTTCTCACACTAAACTCAGTTTTTAACGTCAGGTACAGACTGAATACTTTCCTGCTGGTCTGGACGGCTAATTAGCTCGATCAGTTATTAAAGTAATAAAAGCTACCGAGAGCAGATCCGTGCAGCCTGGATTAATCTGTGTCTGAGGATTATAACTAAACAGATTTGGTGAAAATCAGTTGAGTAATAAGGAAGTTGTGGCTGATTTAATCCTGAGACTGTTCGTCTCTCAGTACAAGTGAATTTGTTCACAAGCAGATCTTGACCTCTCCAACATGGTGGACGTACAGACGTATCGCCTCAGGTAGAGAACAGCAGACAATGCAGCATCTAGATATGGATATCTATGGTTGTAGCTATCAATCACTAACATTAGCTGGCTAGTTTGTTGCTAACAGCACTCTCTATATGGAGGCATATTTGGTTTTCCCCACATGGCTTAAATGTGCAGAGGACAAAAACAACAAAAACAACACGGTTCTAAGCTCCAAGACTCACTTAAAACATAAGCTAAGACCCAGTGTGTTAGCCATAAGCTAAGCCTGGTACACTCAGACTGTAGTTCTACTAAGTTAGCTAGCATTAAGGTTATTAATGCTATTTGGTCAGAGAGGAGACATGCTCAGTACATTATGTTAGAATATATGTCATCATTATGTAGTGGGCGTCGTTAGGGAAATATGAATATTGATACATGCAAGCTAACACTGCTGCACATTGATCTGACATTGTAAGTCTGACCACCCTGTGATAGTACTACTGTGGTAGTTTTGATGCTTTGGCAGTTTTAGGCTACAGTTTGAGCAGCTGGGGTTGGTATATAACAGTGTTGAAGTTAAATAGTAGACAGTCCCTGATAGTGAGCATATACCAGTCCGCTGGCTTAATAAGGTCGCCACCCCGCTGACTGTTTGCCACTCCTGGTCCACCATCGGACCACCCAGATTACTGTCCTGCATAAATGCATAGAGACTTTTATTTTAGAAAATAAACTTAGACAAATATTACAAACAACTGAGATAAAAAAAAATTGACTAGGCCTGATATAAAATGATTTTATAAAAATATTTTTGCTGACTCTGTGCTGGATTAAAATTATTTACTAAACTAATTTACAAAGTATAACTAAAGGAAGGAAGGAAGGAGAAATCTGAGGGAAAAATGAGTGATAAAAAGTGGAATTTTATCTATTATTCTGAAACCGCTGGTGGGCTGCCCAGAAAACGCTAAGCAAAACGCCAGTGGACCACCAGCTTTGCCATTAGCGGGCCGACAGTCCACTATCCTCTTGCTATCAGGGATCTTTTGGGGGGGGTGTAAACAGGACAAAAGGTATTGACTTTTGGAACATTTTTGTTTTGAATTACTTGGTTCACGTGTGTGTAAGTAAAATGGCCGACGTATAAATACCATGCAAATAGCAAGGATGGACAAACCTGCTAATGGAAATTCACCTTCCTGTGGAGCAAAGTTGCAACCCTAATCTAACACACCTGATCCAGTTAGTCACGCTCTTCAGGAGCATCTGAGTTGTTAGATTAGTGTTGAATCTGCAGGATGTCCATCTTCAGGGCTTAACGTCTCCACAATAACGTCACACTGACTGTCACAACAAAATCTGCAATAAGCAGCTAAATAGACACCAACAAACAAAACTATCTAAACTTGCCTGTCATTTGAGATGTATGATGTGTTAGATACGTGTAACAGCACTTTATGGCTATATAAAATATATATATATATATATATATATATATATATATATGATTTACAGTTTTCCTAAATATAGTGCTCAGCCAAGACATCTGGTTCACTTCTTTAGTTTTAGCATTGTGGCTAACCAGTAAACATAAACCCCACCATCAGTGAGTCATACAGTGTCAGAAACCACATAATCAAGTCTATTAGAGACACTGAACACCTCCACACAGTTTGAGGTGAGTGTGTGATGATTTAGACATGCAGTTAGCACCATGCTAATTGGTGCACTAAGCTTCCATTACTTGTTAGCTACATTAGCCTCGTAGCTCCAGTGCTAAAACTAAAGAAGCAAACTTCAGACACCAAACATGTAGGGGTGGCCGATATGGCAAACACATTATATCATGATACTTTGCAACATTTTTATGATACATGATATGCATTACAATATTTAGTTTATAATAATTATAATCTTACAACTATACTGATTTTTATACCATGTTTTATAAACTGCACTGCATTTAATCCAAATAAACAGGCATAATTATGCTCATGTATGAAATACATAGTCAGACAGTGACCTGACAATATCCATAATATGCTCAGGGATACGACAGCGTTTTAGGGCCACTGTTAATAAAAATAAAAATAGTAGACTTTGAGAATAAAGTCATAATATTTCAAGAAAAAAGTCAAAATGTTTAGAGAAAAAAAAGTCGTACTGTTTCGAGAATAAATTCTCTAAATATTACGACTTTTTTTATTTTTATTAACAGTGGCCCTAAAATGCTGTCGTACAGGAAAACATACCCTGGTAGTAGACGGTTCCGGGCTGATTCTGGCTTTCACAAGTCTTGGTTGACTACCGGGCAGATGTTAGGCATGTGGGCCAGAACAGGGCCAGATGCTGTACAGCTGCATACAGTTTTGCCTTGTGTCTACATTTGTGGGCAAATTCTGGCATGACTGTTGTGGACCAACAGTGTAGTTGGGCCAGATTTGGGCCACATCCATTAGTTCTACTCATTTTACAGTGTATGTCAGTTCTGGGCCGTATACTGGGCCAAAACAAAGCCAAGGATGTGACAAATGTTGTTAACTGGGTATAGTGACACAACTTATCACAACAATGCTAAAATACGGTCAGATCCCTACACGTCTCGTGTACTTTTATTTTTTTGTTGAACTATTGCTGTGTTATTACTGTGGGAACTAAATGACTGTAATAAAGACTCTCCTGTGTGCTTCTCTTGTTCTGCCTCATCTATGAAACTGAAGAATAGACAGTATTTATGGTATTTATAATAATTCAGAGATTCACTCTGTAGGGATTAAGGGCCCCTGGATAAGCCCTGAAAAGGACGGAGCACGGGAATACCACTGCTGTGAATAGAGAGAGAGAGAGATAGAAAGACAGAGGAATAGATTCGAGTGACTGGCCAGCAAAGAAAGAGGTTAATAAGGCTTACTGACGGTGAATACAGGGCAGCGGCCTCCACCTTGACTGGGAGATTACGCACAACACACGTTTCTATACAACAGGGTGTCTCCAGCGTCTTGAATGCTGGGTCGGCTTCTCAGCCACAGTTTTAGAATGGTTTAAATCTTATTTAGGTAACAGGCGGTTCATGGTTTCAGTGGGAAATCATTCATCAAAAAGAGTCGGCATTTCTTGTGGAGTCCCTCAAGGTTCAATCTTAGGGCCTTTGCTTTTCTCTTTGTACATGCTACCTCTAGGCGATGTCATTAGGTGATGATATGCTGTATGTCTTATATTACTGTTAAGCTTTATCACCTGTCTGTAAAGCACTTTGAGCTGCCACTGGCATGAAAAGTGCTATATAAACACAAATTATTATTATTATCATTATTATGTATTCTGAATATGAACCATTCTACTGTATTAGTTCAAACTGCGATCCCAAAATAATTACATTTTTAAAAAAACAACAAAGTATTCAGATCTAAGATATTTACATAGGTTATGTTCAGATCTATTTAAACCCAAGGTATTAATAGAGAGAGTAAAAAGCTAAATATATACAAAGTCATCATTTATAGAGTACTTATTTCAGGAGGTGTCTGTCCAAAACTGTAACCCCTAAATTTACACATCTGAAAATAACACCTACATTTTTTGTATTTTTTTAAAAGATCTTTTATTTTAAAGTTCTAAAGATTTTGATTCATCATGAATTTAATTTTTTTTAATAAAAAAAACTTTATTCAGAAAATGCTGTCCCATGTTTTAATGTCACTACTGAAACACAGAGTTTTAGTCTGTAGGCGGAGTCTTATTTTAGCCACACCCCTGCATTTTAGAGAAGGAAGTGAGGCTGCATCCCTGTCCCTCATGGCCACATCTGAAGTAAATATGTCCCAAAGTGTGAAAATCAGTGTGGAACATTAAGAATTATTACTACTGAAATACGGATTTTCTGCAATTATGTAAAATGTTATGTTTTAATGAAAAATATGATGATTTTATGTGTGAACATCTGTTCAAAGCTGTGTTTGCTGGTCATTTTCTGGCTGCGTTTTTGAGCTCGAAATGAGCTAAAATTGTCACCAGTGAAACAGTCACTACTCAAACATTTGGTAAAGTTTTGGTAGTGTTACGGTTTTTTTGGTAGTGACAAAATGGAAACATAATAAAGGTTTAGGGTGACTCAAAAGGATTTAAAGTCCAAGATCAGTTAAAAGTCCCAAATGTGAGTGAAAAGTACCTATATGTAATAATAATGTCCCATTTGTATTGTATTTCACGAATCTGCTCATACAGTCAACAAAAGAGTCTCAACACAAAACCATTCGAAAAAAAAGACACGTTTATATTACACAACAACCATTACACTGAGAAATGTACACTCACAAACGTCCACAGGAAGCTGCTGCCATTCTTCACTATGTACAGGACTTGTACTGTACTATGCTATGTACAGTAAGTGCTTGACGGTCACTCATGTGATTAAACAGTGATTTTGTGAATAGATGTGTGAACATCCACACAGTGATTGATAGTCTCTAAGTGAGAAAACCACACCCACACACACACACACACACACACACACACACACACACACACGCACACACACACACACACGCACACACACACACTCTCTCTCTCTCAAGTCTCTGTAGTCCAGCTGGTGTGTGTATCCGATGTCACTCAGTGAGCACTGACGGTGGAGGCGGGATTAAACCGGCCGCTGTGATTCGTCTCTCGCTGGACAGGAAGTTAAATGTGGCGCATGCATTTGGCTGCAGAGAAAAACAAAAAGAGAGAGACATTCTGAAGATTCTGAATGTACTGTGAAAGTCGTTCAGAGTGGTTTGGTGTGAAATGCTCTGTTCTAGATAAACTTACCGAGTCAGAACTGTTCACAGTGGTGGTGATAGGAACCAGACATCCACCTCTAAAAGCTCCCTCACAGAAAGTTCCTACATGAAATGGTTATGAATTCACTGCCTGATGACTGAGACACTGTTTTATGATAGTTTAGAGAACTTAAACTCCATTCATGGTGGAGGGATACATGCAGGGCGCTGTGAGGCAAAATAGTCCCCAAAGAAAACTTATTATTTCAGATTTTCCACTATTTTCCATCATCAACATTCCATATAAACTCAGAAGACTCGTGTAGGTTCACTGGTGGTTCTGGATAGTAAATAAAATGTCTTTGTTTGTGTTGTAGTCATGGCGACCCCTGGTTCCAATCACCACCACTGTAAAGAGATCCAAGGGTGCTTTCACACTTACCTTGTTTGGTCTAGACCTTCAGACTTTTCAGTTTGGGCCAAACCAAAATGCAGGTGTGAAAGATGCCTCAGACCATGTTCCAGACCTATTTTATTACATTATATAGACAAAAGTATTGGGACACCCCTCCTAATTATTGAGTTCATGTGTTTCAGCCACACCCATTGCTAACAGGTGTCTAAAATTAAGCACACAGCCATGCAGTCTCGATAGACAAACACTGGCAGTAGAGGGTCGCACTGATGAGCTCAGTGGCTTTAAACAGCACTGTCATAGGATGCCACCTCTGACCACAAGTCAGTCTGTGAGATTTGTCCTGCTAGAGCTGCCCCAGACAACTGTAAGTGCTATTTTAGTGAAATGGAAGCGTCTAGGAATGAAAACAGCTCAGCCGCGAAGAGGTAGATGATGCAAACTCTCAGAGTGGGACTGCCAAGTGCTGAAGAGCACAGTGTCTATCCTCTGTTGAATCACTAAAGAGCTCCAAATTGCCTCTGGAGGCAACATCAGCACAAGAACTGCACAGTAGGAGCTTCATGAAATGTGTTTCCATGGCTGAGCAGCTGCACACAAGCCTAAGATCAAAATGCGTAATGCCAAGCGTCGGATGGAGCGGAGTAAAGCACCGCTCTGGACTCTGGATCAGTGGAAACGTGTTCTGTGGAGTGATGAATCACACTTTACTATGGGCTGGAGGTTAGGGAACCAGCCTTGTGACCGGAACGTCGCCGGTTCAATCCCCTGAGCCGACAGCATGTGACTGAAGTGCCCTTGAGCAAGACACCTAACCCCCAACTGCTCCCCGGGCACCGTGGATAGGGCTGCCCACTGCTCTGGGCAAGTGTGCTCACTGCCCCACTAGTGTGTATGTGGTGTTTCACTGTTGGGATGGGTCAAAATGCGGAGGTGAAATTTCCCCGTTGTGGGACTAATAAGGGAACTTCTCTATCGGTCAGTCTGATGGACGAGTCTGGGTTTGGCGAATGCCAGGAGAACGTTACCTGCCTGACTGCACTGTGCCAGCTGTAGAGTTTGGTGGAGGAGGGATGATGATATGGGGTTGGCCCTGTTAGAGCTGCAAAGGGGACCAACTCTATATTAATGCCTATGGATTTAGAATGGGATTCATAAAAGCTCATGTAGGTGTCCCAATACTTTTGTCCGTATAGGGTATTTGCATAAAATGTGTAGAAAAAGTTTAATTTTTTGCTCAGTGAGCAGAATCCTCACCGTGTCCTGAACCTCCACAGCGATGCCTTTCGTCCGGAGGAAGGCGAGAACGTTGGGGTCTAGACGCTCCGTACGGGCTCCTGTGCCCAAAATCAGCACCTCTATACAAACACAGAGAACAGTTATCCTCCTAGGGAACATAAGACCTTTCAAACAAGGTCTCTGAGACCTCCAGCCAGGTCTGGTATTCATTCAGGGACATTTTCAGGACTTTTTTAATTGGGAAAAAGTGCATCCTTTAATTATTAAAACAATATTTAAAGATCATTTAATTGCATATTACAGATACTGGTACAAACACTCTTAAAATACTTTAACATGCATTTCAGTGGTTTGAGTGATTTTAAATGGGTGTGTTTACATGTGCAGAGACTTTATGTGGATTATCTCTGTATAATCCTGATACTCAAGGAACATCCTTCTTTTTAAAAACTGCCCAATCCAGCCTAAATAAGCATGCGTGAGGTTTTACCTATACGAGGCTCCAGCAGGTAGAACAGAGACAAACTCTCCACTGTGATGTCTTTATAGCTGCCCACCTGCGACAGAAATATCAATCAGATTATAATCTGATCACAATGATACTTATTAAAGGACAAATCAGAAACCACGTTATCAAGTCTATTAAACATTACTGAATAACTCCACATGCTTGTGTTATGTACCAAAAATTGTCATAATTCTGTTTTTGTTACTGTGCATTTAAGGCTGATATATGTAAATTAGCTCTGTTCTGACTAGCTGTCATGCACTGTGCCTCCAGTCCAGGCTGAAACACTCTTTATAACTTCAGCATAAATGGGCGGAGCCAAACTGCTGTAGGCTGAATAAGTGGATATATGCAATGCTTTGGTTTTTTATGACATCACAAAAACAATGAATTCAAGCCAGGCTGTTTTTGCAGGTTAAGTCCCGTTGGAGCTGGATTGGTTTTATCTGGGGAGGTGACGTAATCTGAGTGATTAACAATGAGATCCATGATTTTAATCCAGTACGAATCTGTAATGACCACAATTTTTATAAGTCTGCTAAGTAATAATTCCAGAGCTCCTGCAGTGACAGTAGTCCTGTTCGGATCCACATGTTCAGACTGCCAGTCTAAATCTGATTTCTGCATATCCAGACTGTATCCAGATTGATTTTTAATAGTCTGAACAGCAAAAAAAAAACATGTGAAATCTGATTTTTGCAAATCCAAACCATTTAGAGGTGAATTGGAATGCGACTTCAATCAGATTTTTACAGATGTGTCTCAGTCTGGACGCTCTGGACACTCAAGGCAGACTTCAAAGTGTCTTCTGTGTCACTCGCAACACGGCAAACAACGGCAATGTCAAGTCCAGAGTGATGAAGTGCTGGGATTCAAGAAGAGCTCCAAAGATTCATGATTATGAAGAGAGTTCTGAAGAGTTTGGAGGGGAGATGATGCTCCTCCATCTCTTCTGCATCCGCGTTTGAAATCCTCGTCACCAGTGTAGCTACATTATTACTGACGCCTATGTCGTTACCATGGCAACCCATGCAGATAGACTGGTTATGTCTGGACACACAAATCCGTTTTGATCACTTGCAAATAACAGTGTCACAAGATCTCAAAAGATCTGATTAGAGAAACAAATCTGATTTGCCTGCAGTCTGAACACAGCCTAACAGAACTGGGTAAGAGAAATCAGCGCACCCTCTTTTAGCAAAGAAAAGCAGCTAAAATGGAGCTTGTTTTGCTAAAATGGGGCTTAATTTGACCCAGTTCCATCAATCTCATCACTTCTGAAATCCACAACATTTGTGGTTCAATTAGACGGAGAAGGAAAATTAAAGTACCTCACACAAGGCAGTACATTTTCTATCTCGTTGGGCGGCGTTTGGTTCAGCTGAACGAATCCATTTTATTGGCCTAATGCTAGTTTATCTGCCTTCCAGCCGCCCAACGTGTCATCGTCAAATGTGGTGCCTGTCAAATAATGCTGACCTAAACCATGTTTTGATCCGGGCTATTTGGGGTAATTTGGGGAAATTACACAGATCCTTTATGATGTATGAATCGGCCAGTCAAATCACGCTCAGCTTACATTTCCAGACCTCTTGTGGTAAAACTAATCCAGCTCCAATAGGGCTTAAATTTCTACACATGGACTGTGAACTATGTAAGAGCTTAAAAATGGAACATTTTAAGACTTTAACCATGTTTATGTGCTATTTTACTCTGGAAAAGTGAAGAAAATTTGGGCTATATGGGCCCTTTAATGGACAAATATGCTTAATGCTCTGACATATCTGACATTCTGGCGTCCAGTATAAGAAGAAAATGTGTAGCTGTGAATCAGCAACAAGTTTGCCCTCACGTTCCACTGCAGGATAGCCGGCGGGCACCACGGCGCACGGTCCGATCACTCTGTTTCCGTCGACGTTGAACCCTCTTGAGCTGTAGCTGAGGATGATGGGTCCACTGTCTGACTCCTTCTGCATCACCGTCACCGTCGTCCTCTGGTATATCTCATCGTCCGTTGGACCCAGTCTGTGGCCGCGAGTTAAGAAGGGACTGGAGGGACCAAAATCATGAGAGAACTTAGCGTCTTTCATGGAACCCACTGTTATTGATCATAGATAGGCTTCTGGGTGCAGCCTATCAGAGCAAAGTGGGTGGGGCTTATGCTGTTGACACACCCACACTCAAATGACTGGGTTTATTTTTTAGAGTGCAGCACAGCAGAAAAACTTCTATTATGAAACTTTTATTTATCTGATCCATCATAAAACATCAAAAATCACATCACGCATTATGTCTCGATGTGTTTTTTCAGCAGGGCTTAAAGGGGAATTCCTCCAATTTGTCACATTTTCTGCATAATTAAGTGGTTAAGATGTAAACAGAGTGGTTCTGAGTGGTTTGGTGTGAAACGCTCCATTCTAGAGAAACTTACCGAGTCAGAACTGTTCACAGTGGTGGTGATAGGAACCAGACGTCCACCTCTAAAAGCTCCCTCACAGAAAGTTACAACATGAAATGGTTATGAATTCACTGCCTGATGACTGAGACACTGTTTTAGGATAGTTTAGAGAACTTAAACTCCATTCATGGTGGAGGGATACATGCAGGGTGCTGTGAGGCAAAATAGTCCCCAAAGAAAACTTATTATTTCAGATTTTCCACTATTTTCCATCATCAACATTCCATATAGACTCAGAAGACTCGTGTAGGTTCACTGGTGGTTCTGGATAGTAAATAAAATGTCTATATTTGTGTTGTAGTCATGGTGATCCCTGGTTCCTATCACCACCACTGTAAAGACATCTGAACCATTTCACACCAAACCACTCTGAATGACTTGAGTTACAGAGAATTAGCTGCATGTTTCATTGCAAAGGGAGCAAAGTAGACCTGAGTAACTGGATCTGTTGCTGTACAGTGGGTGAAATTAGATCAAAAATCAGTGTATTTATAGTTTTGCCCTTTTTCATGAACCACTGTCGGTTCTGCTTTGTCTGTTCCAACTTATCGAACCTCAGAAAATGTAAATATCGTGACACTTTTTATGAAAAACGTCTTTAAGTATCGTGATGTTATATTATGCCACTGGGATCAGCCTCTCTGAGCAGAGGTCATCATGGTGTGGCACCATTACGGTTCTGCACAGCGTGCAGTAATTAGAGATTACAGTACCTTGAGAGACCTGGATGGGTTCTTGATCCAAACCGAAGACCGTAAACTGACCCACGGAGAAATAATCTACTACACACCGCCGCTGCCATTTCAGAAACTCCACGTTAAGCCGGCTGGACATATGCGACCCGAGCTGGAGTTTTAGGACGGACACTTATCGCGCTGGACACACTTCCGCTGTAAACATCCGGTGACGGCACATTTTCTAATATTTTTAACAGATTTTAAACATTGGACTTTAAAACGGGACTGGAAATAATATTAGGCTTTCTTAGGAATATGGAGAGACACCAGAAATGAGTTCAGCCTGGTAGAAATAACGTTAAATAAGTCGCTACATCGTCAGCGTAGCTGGCTTTGGTTAACAAACTGCGTACAATAAGCTAAAACTCACAGAAACGGCTGGACTACATTACCTAACTATTAATGCACGTTTATTTACGTGTTGACTTTATATAAAGCTCATAAATAAACTGTACTATCGACCGTGCGCTGCGATATAAAGGCATTTTGCTGACATTCAATCGTTCATGCGATCGATTAATCTTGCCTGGATGCGAAAGGGGGCGTGGAATGCGTCTGATTCATTTAAGCGAGCCGATACTTTTGAGCAATGAATCGAACATCCGACTCAACGTTTCATTCATTCATTCATTCAAGTTTTTTATTCGTTTTATTAAGTCGTGTCTGCGGCGATGTGTGAAATTCAGCATT